GGCTATGATTCCATTGACGTCTCGCTTCACAGTCTAACAGTGTCGCATGGAAAGACGGAAAGGTTTCAACACAACAGCTGGATGGATAGCTGGATGAACTCGCTCGGGAGGATAACAGGCTGAAGCGTAGATAGATGCACAGACGAATAGCGTTTTTAGTATTGCTTTACTTTCCGTGTGTAGCCTGGTGGAAGGTGGGGGATAGACCCACCTCCTCTTAACAAGCATGTCATAGAAGGTGACTTAATTACAAGTTTGCTGATATCTGATGTGTTGGACTGAAAGGATATCGCAGCCTAGCTGTAGACTGCACTACAACGTGCTAAGCGTCTTTTCAAAAGTAAACGCAGAAGACGTGTACTCACTAACTACGATTACGGTACTTTAGGTTTTGTGGAAAAGCAAGTTTTCTCACAGCTATAAACCTAACAACAAATGCCGGGGAGAGGTGTTGGAAATGTCGCCCGAAAGTCGCAAACTGTGCAGATCTGCTGTAAACAGACATTACCCAGACACCATGTCAAACACGAGATATTTTTAAAATGCCGAGCAAAAAGAGAAAGAAAAGAAAGTAGTTGAAGAAACAAGGCAAATTCCACCCGTCTCGCAGTTCTCCATTACCTTGATCTGTTTTTTTTTTAAGCCTTACGCTGATTCGCTCTAAGGTTGGTTGACTTTAGTTCTTTCTGCTTTTCTTCCCTTTCGTTTTTTTTTCATTTGGGGGGGGGGGGGGGTGGTGGTGTGTGTGTGTGTGTGTGTGTGTGTGTGTGTTTTTTTTTTTTTTTTTTTTTTTTTTTAATTTTTTTAATATGCATCAAGCTGCGAAACTAGTCTCACAAAGTTATTCTCCCCATTTTATTAAAATTGTGTACAGGGTACTACTCTGTGGCTAAGTCGATGCGAACACTTCGTAATGCCTGGGTGCCGGGTTCGATCCCAGCTGCGGGCCTTGCGCCTTGCGTTGGTTTCGACAGTGGTATCAGAGGGAAGACCGTCCAGAAAGCAATGGCAAACTGCTGGACGTAAATGTGCCTAGAGAAACCACACAAGAGACAGGGGCTGCTAGGGTTGGTTCTGCAACGCCCTGTAAAGGGTACGCAACCAACTTAACAGGGTAGTTACCTCACTGGCTTCTCTCGGTCTGTGCGTGTTTCATGCGACAGTAACAAAAGGAACTGGCTGCTCCCCTGATAGAAATATATGAAGTCCATCATTTCATTCCATCCCCGTGTGGGTTCCGGGGCGCCATCGTGGGGAAAACAAGAATAGACCCTCTGCCTACCCAAAAGCATGTCGTAAGAGTCGACTAATTGGGGAGCTTCCTTTGAAGTCGGAGTGCATCTTCCTGAGAGGCAAGGAACCAACAGTCTGGTTCAAGTGAAACAGATCTGGAAAACTGATGCACACGCAACACTCAGGTTCTGGAGCAGGACTGCAGTTCAGAAGTGGGCGAACAACCAGAACTTTCCGCCAGAGTGTACAGCTGGTGAACGCGAAGAAGAAGAAGAAGATTTCATTCCAAATTCAACATTTGCGAAGTGCTGCCTGTATCACCATCATCATTATCTTCATCGTCATCATCATCATCGTCATCATCATCGTCATCATCAACATCGTCATCACTGTAACAATAATCCCAGCGCACCCGATCGCCAGAAAAAGTCTTAATCGTTCAACAGTAACTTATTGATCCCACGACGTATAGTGTCATGGGACTAAATATAGAAAGATTATTATTATTATTATTATTATTATTATTATTATTATTATTATTATTATTATTATTATTATTACTATTATTGATAGTGGTGCTGGTGGTGGACATGGTGTTCCCTATTACACATTCACGATCTAAAATATTACCCTTTTGATATCGACAGGTGTCACGGGAAAGGAGAGCAGCCTTAGATAACACAGCGACATCCTGGTGAAGAAATAACTACCCTGGTTCACAAACAAGGGAAAAGAGCACAGTTCGATAGGCACAGTTCAATAGGAGGAGTTCACAGTTCAATAGGAGGAGTTCACAGTTCAATAGGAGGAGTTCACAGTTCACAGTTCAATAGGAGGAGTTCACAGTTCAATAGGAGGAGTTCACAGTTCAATAGGAGGAGTTCATAGTTCACAGTTCAATAGGAGGAGTTCACAGTTCAATAGGATTAGGAACGGCACAGTTCAATAGGAGGAGTTCACAGTTCAATAGGATTAGGAACGGCACAGTTCAATAGGAGGAGTTCACAGTTCAATAGGAGAAGGAACGGCACAGTTCAATAGGAGGAGTTCACAGTTCAATAGGATTAGGAACGGCACAGTTCAATAGGAGGAGTTCACAGTTCAATAGGATTAGGAACGGCACAGTTCAATAGGAGGAGTTCACAGTTCAATAGGATTAGGAACGGCACAGTTCAATAGGAGGAGTTTACAGTTCAATAGGAGAAGGAACGGCACAGTTCAATAGGAGGAGTTCACAGTTCAATAGGAGAAGGAACGGCACAGTTCAATAGGAGGAGTTCACAGTTCAATAGGAGAAGGAACGGCACAGTTCAATAGGAGGAGTTCACAGTTCAATAGGAGAAGGAACGGCACAGTTCAATAGGAGGAGTTCACAGTTCAATAGGAGAAGGAACGGCACAGTTCAATAGGAGGAGTTCACAGTTCAATAGGAGAAGGAACGGCACAGTTCGATCAGAACTAGCCAACCCAGAGGCTTGATGCGACTAACAGTGCAAGGGACATAACTGCTGAAATTCGATTGTTTGCACATGCAGAGAGTGGTGTCCTCTGAAATGTTTTGTTTATGGATCCTGACGACAGTTGTGGCTGCTGTAGGTAAGTTAACATGCTAGGTAACACTTACTGTACCAGACAGCACTTTGTAATTCAGAGTTTATGTCCTTTAGAGAGCAAGTCTTTGAGTCTCAGTGGACTAACACAGTTTAAATATGCAGCAGCAACTGTAAAAGTTGCCAGTCCTGCAGAAAAGTAAACATATTAGAACGAAATGAACAGAAGACGCTAGTCAATGTTTATGTCACGTATAAGTAAAAGTAAAGGTCCCTTTCCCACGCCTTTAGGCGTATTGAGAATATAGGACTTGACCGGAATTTTTATAAACCAATCGGCACTTGGTGGGTGATATGTAACTGTTTGATTCTCATTCTTGGGGTGTTGATCCTACAGGCTGCAGTCCTGGTAACTGTTTGATTCTCATCCTTGAGGTGTTTTATTCTACAGGCTGCTGTCCTGGTAGCTGTTTGATTCTCATCCTTAAGGTGTTAGTCCTATAAGCTGCAGTCCTGGTAGCTGTTTGAGTCTCATCCTTGAGGTGTTAGTCTTATAGGCTGCCGTCCTGGTAAATGTTTGAGTCTCATCCTTAAGGTGCTAATTGTCTCATTCTTGAGGTGGAAATCCTACAGGCTGCAGTCCTGGTAAATGTTTGATTATCATCCTTGAGTTGTTATTCCTACAGGCTGCAGTCCTGGTAACTGTTTGATTATCATCCTTGAGTTGTTATTCCTACAGGCTGCAGTCCTGGTAACTGTTTGATTCCCATCCTTGAGGTGTTAGTCCTACAGGCTGCAGTCCTGGTAACTGTTTGATTCCCATCCTTGAGGTGTTAGTCCTACAGGCTGCAGTCCGGGTAACTGTTTGATTCTCATCCTTGAGGTGTTAGTCCTACAGGCTGCAGTCCTGGTAACTTTTTGATTCTCATCCTTGAGTTGTTAGTCCTACAGGCTGCAGTCCTGATAACTGACTCTCATCCTTGAGGTGTTAGTCCTACAGGCTGCAGTCCTGGTAACTTTTTGATTCTCATCCTTGAGTTGTTAGTCCTACAGGCTGCAGTCCTGATAACTGATTCTCATCCTTGAGGTGTTGATACTACAGGCTGCAGCCCTGGGGTTCCCCCCCCCCCCCCCCCCCCCCCCCCCCAACTACTAACCAGTGTATCTCTGCCTGGTCTGGACTTCAGGTTCTAACGTAACCCATCAGGTTCTGTAGTATAAGAGTGTTATGTAGTTGAATAGGGTTTCCGAGATTTTTTCTGCTGGAATCTCAACCGTGAGGTGCTATTTTAGACTACAGTCCTGGAAGGGGAGGGGGAAGCTACCCACTTACCTTCCTAAGCTACCACTGTTTTATAATATTGTCATCTCTTTAAGTGTTCAAAACGCAGCAAGACTAGAAGAATGCTGCTCCCTCTGATACCAGACGTGGAACACCTTGTACGGTAGAAAAGAACAGCTTGTGATATCATGAACATTACACTACATGGTATTGGCCCATGCGCCACTGGATCGATAACAACAACAAAAACCTACTGGGATTCTGGGATGTGTGATTGATTCCCATCCTCGATGTGTTAAACTCACTAACTGCAGTTTGGAAAGAAAAAATGCTACCAACATACCTTCTCCAGCTACCAGTATATTCTCACCTGGATACCGGTTAAGGACCCCAGTATAACTATGTAATGCAGTTGAATAGGGTTTGCGAGATTTTTACCTGTATGATTCCCATCCTTGAGGTGTTACTGCTAACACAGCACCTACAGACTGCAGTCCGCCCGGGGGGGGGGGGGGGACTGTACACCTACCTTCCCATACTACCACTCACGGATGAAAGGATTAGCAGTCATCACTTGTTATGGGTGAGCAACCCTGAGTTAAAGTTAGCTTACAGTGACACTGTATGAGAAACTCAGTGTTTCATCACAAGTTGTATAGGAATGAATGAGTTAAAGCCGTGCATACTTTGATGTGTCAGAATTAGTATAATGAGAGTATGCACCCTTGCAGGCACAAGATTCAGATGTAGAAATATGCAGGTGCACTGATTTCTCCCCCCCCCCCTCTCTCTTTCTCTCTTTCTCTCTCTCTCTCTCTCTCTCTCTCTCTCTCTCTCTCTCTCTCTCTCTCTCTCTCTCTCTCTCTCGCACACGCACACACAAACAAAAGAGAAGAGAGAGAGAGAGAGAGCGTCAAATAATACAGTGACCTAAGATTCCAAAATTTCCTGTGACAGTGAATGCAGCACAGTACTTCCAGGAAGTGCCCAGAGACACAAATGTCATCCGTGGGCAGACTGCAGTCCTCAAGTGTGTCATTGGTGACAGAAAGGGAGCAGTTCAATGGACAAAAGATGGATTCTCTTTAGGTGAGATGATAGATATGATGGAGCAGGGCAATGGTACAGGGATATTTAGGGGAGGTGGGTGACAGTTGACAGAATGGTGGATAATCTCTTGGTAAAAATGATGGAGAGAGTGTGATAGTGCAATGGGCTAGAAGTGCATTCTCTGTTGGTAAGCTAACGGAGGAGGTGTGAGGAAATGCAGTTGGGGGATGGAGAAAGTGTGACAGCGCAATGGGCTAAAGTTACATTCTCTGTTGGTAAGCTAACGGAGGAGGTGTAAGGAAATGCGGTTTGGAGGGGGGATAGACTTCCTGTGTAAGATGATGTATGAGAATGTGGGGCGTTACAGTGGGCAAATAATAGATTCTCTCTATGTGAAATAGTGGAAGGAGTGGGGTAGGGCAGTTGATAAAAGATGATAGGTGGGGCAGTATAGTGGACAAAAATTGATTCTGTTTAGATAAGATGGTGGGTGTGAGACAGTATAGTGGACACAAACTGATTCTGTTTAGATAAGATGGTGAGTGTGAGACAGTATAGTGGACACAAAATGATTCTGTTTAGATAAGATGGTGAGTGTGAGACAGTATAGTGGACACAAATTGATTCTGTTTAGATAAGATGGAGAGTGTGAGACAGTATAGTGGACACAAATTGATTCTGTTTAGATAAGATGGTGGGTGTGAGACAGTATAGTGGACACAAATTGATTCTGTTTAGATAAGATGGAGAGTGTGAGACAGTATAGTGGACAAAATTTGCTTCTGTTCAGATACGATGGTGGGTGTGAGACAGTATAGTGGACAAAAATTGATTCTGTTTAGATATGATTGTGGGTGTGAGACAGTAAAGTGGACAAAAATGGATTCTGTTTAGATACGATGGTGGGTGTGAGACAGTAAAGTGGACAAAAATTGATTCTGTTTTGATACAATGGTGGGTGTTAGACAGTTTAGTGGACACAAAACTTATTCTGTTTAGATTCAATGATGGGTGTGAGACAGTATAGTGGACAAAAATGAATTCTGTTTTGATACGATGGTGGGTGTGAGACAGTAAAGTGGACAAAAATTGATTCTGTTTAGATATGATTGTGGGTGTGAGACAGTAAAGTGGACAAAAATGGATTCTGTTTTGATACGATGGTGGGTGTGAGACAGTATTATGGACAAAAATTGCTTGGGTGTTAGACAGTTTAGTGGACACAAAACTTATTCTGTTTAGATTCAATGATGGGTGTGAGACAGTATACTGGACAAAAATGAATTCTGTTTTGATACGATGGTGGGTGTGAGACAGTAAAGTGGACAAAAATTGATTCTGTTTTGATACGATGGTGGGTGTTAGACAGTATAGTGGACTCAAAATTATTCTGTTTAGATACGATGGTGGGTGTTAGACAGTATAGTGGACTCAAAATTATTCTGTTTAGATACGATGGTGGGTGTTAGACAGTATAGTGGACTCAAAATTATTCTGTTTAGATACGATGGTGGGTGTTAGACAGTATAGTGGACACAAAATTATTCTGTTTAGATACGATGGTGGGTGTGATGCAGTATAGTGGACAAAAAAGTATTCTGTTTAGATTCAGTGGTGGGTGTGAGACAGTATAGTGGACAAAAAAGTATTCTGTTTAGATTCAGTGGTGGGTGTGAGACAGTATAGTGGACAAAAAATTATTCTGTTTTGATACAATGGTGGGTGTGAGATAGTATAGTGGACAAAAATGGATTCTGTTTAGATATGATTGTGGGTGTGAGACAGTAAAGTGGACAAAAATGGATTCTGTTTTGATACGATGGTGGGTGTGAGACAGTATTATGGACAAAAATTGCTTGGGTGTTAGACAGTTTAGTGGACACACAAAACTTATTCGTTTGTTAGATTCAATGATGGGTGTGAGACAGTATACTGGACAAAAATGAATTCTGTTTTGATACGATGGTGGGTGTGAGACAGTAAAGTGGACAAAAATTGATTCTGTTTTGATACGATGGTGGGTGTTAGACAGTATAGTGGACAAAAAATTATTCTGTTTAGATACGATGGTGGGTGTGAGACAGTATAGTGGGCAAAAATTGATTCTGTTTAGATACGATGGTGGGTGTGAGACAGTATAGTGGGCAAAAATTGATTCTGTTTAGATACGATGGTGGGTGTTAGACAGTATAGTGGACACAAAATTATTCTGTTTAGATACGATGGTGGGTGTTAGACAGTATAGTGGACACAAAATTATTCTGTTTAGATACGATGGTGGGTGTGAGACAGTATAGTGGACACAAAATTATTCTGTTTAGATACGATGGTGGGTGTGAGACAGTATAGTGGACAAAAAAGTATTCTGTTTAGATTCAGTGGTGGGTGTGAGACAGTATAGTGGACAAAAAATTATTCTGTTTTGATACAATGGTGGGTGTGAGATAGTATAGTGGACAAAAATGGATTCTGTTTAGATATGGTGGTGGGTGTGAGACAGTAAAGTGGACAAAAATTAATTATTTTTTTATACGATGGTTGGTGTGAGACAGTAAAGTGGACAAAAATTGATTCTGTTTTGATACGATGGTGGGTGTGAGACTGTATAGCGGACAAAAATTGATTCTGTTTAGATTCAGTGGTGGGTGTGAGACAGTGTAGTGGACACAAATTGATTCTGTTTAGATAAGATGGTGGGTGTGAGACAGTATAGTGGACATAAGATGAATTCTCTTTAGATAAGACTGGGGAGCTGGAAGTGTAGTGGGTGAACAATGAATTATCTGTAGGTAATATGCCTGAGTCGGCTCTGTGGCTAAGTCGATGCGAACGCTTCGCTTCGTAATGCCGGGATGCCAGGTTCGATCCCAGCTGTGGGCACTGCGCCTTGTGTTGGTTTCGACAGCGGTATCAAGAAAGCCGACCGTCCAGAAAGCAATGGCAAACTACTGGACGTATATTGCCTAGAGAAACCACACAACAGCCAGGGGCTGTTAGGGTTGGTTCTGCAACGTCCTGTAAAGGATACGCAACTAACTTTTAATATGCCTGAATTACCCACATCAGAAGGAGAGAATTTAGATTCTCTGGGAAGATGCAGGACAGTTTGACATCATAGCATGGAAGATCATCTATGTCAGAAATGATTGAAAATCCATATAGTTGAACATTGCATGTGTACATGGGAACATTCAGTAGAGGTACTCTGGAATGGCTGCTGCCTCCAAGGACTGGGCAGACATGGAACTACCCAGTGGGTTGTGACTTTGATTGTGATAACTTAAACAAATAATGATAATACTGTGGTTAGAATATCACCACCACTTGGCATGGACTAGAGAAGAAAAGAATAAGATGGGGGTTAAGTTGATATTGGGCAAGTTTTAAATTTAATTTGGACAACCAAGATGCGACCACGTAAGAGCATTACATCTAATGTTTTCAATATTGTTTCAGGTTTCAACAGAACAATCCCAGGCTATGACAGATACTCAGTCACTTCCAGCCACGAGAATGAGTTCAACCTGATGATCGTCAATGCCCACCTGGAAGATGATGCTGTCTATGAGTGCCAGGTGCTGCCCCGTGGAGGGGATGACCGCCTTCAGGCTCGCGCTGCACTGACTGTGCTAGGTACTGTGTGCCTAGAATTATCTAATGGTAGAAGGTTTTTTTTTTTTTTGTTAGTCAGTTGAGAGGTGACTGGCCGAACAGTTAGAACATTAGGCTGTTAAATCCTCAGAAAAGTTTTGGTTTTTTCTGTCGGGAGCTAAAACGAAATCCTAACCTGCAATTCCATCTTAACAGCACTAGCCTTGCGGCCCTAAATCCTCAGACTCATTCCCCCCCCCCCCCCCCCCCACCCACCCCCCCCCCACCCCCCCCCCCCCCCCCCCCCCCCCCCCCCCCAAAATCACCACAAAAGTGGTAAATATAGGCAGTAACAGCAGTTTTTATTTCATTTTATTTTTTTAAAGTTATTTTTAAATATTCTTATTTGTTAATATTTTTTTTTTTACTTGGGTGTGATCTCCACATTAAAAGTTGGCTTTAGTGAATGTCCACAGCTCCTTCTGACTCTGGTCCTGGTCGTACACTTTGACAGATGGATAATGATGAATCTCCGACACTAACACGATTGCACCTGGGTGGGGTTAAGGCAAAAGTTCAGCAGGTCTGTGCTTCCTTTGAGGCTTAAATGGGAGACGTTTATAATTAACCCTACCCCCCCCCCCCCCCCCACCTAAAAAAAAAGCTGTAGCACGACAGGGCACCACAGATATACAGATACAGCAGTAAAAAAGCCAGATGCAGAAGATGGACCGCAGACATATCTGAGACACAGAAAAGTACTTTATACGAAGTGATCAGAAGGGCCTATTCCAGAGATCACTTTCAGCCCTGATGCAGTGAGGCATTCCAGGAGTAGAGAAAAAAAAAAGGAGAGAAGAAGTATTTAAATGCACAGAAGTATGAGTCAATGGGGGGGGGGGGGTGGGGGGGGGGGGGGGTGGGGGGGGGGGGGGGGGGGGGGGGGGGGGGGGGGGGGGGGGGGGAGGGGGGGGGGGGGGGGGGGGGGGGGGGGGGGGGGGGGGGGGGGGGGGGGGGGGGGGGGACTTTTAGTCAGTTATTTGGACGGACATCTCTTCAATAAAAGTTCTAGTGGATCCAAACAAATTCTAGAGGAGATCAAGAGGAGAAGAGTGCATAGAATCACTTCATTATGTTCTACACCACTTGGTGGTGAACTGATGTATGACAAGATGGATGTTGTGAGGGCCCTTTGGGAGCGAGTGAACAGATAGATCATTATAACCCGAGGAGAATGGCACTGCGAGGAATTACAAGGGGATCTGGAAGACGCTCAGCACTCAGGGGAAAGGCGAGGCGGATATACAATCAGACAGTTCCTGGCACCATCTTCGCTTGTTGCTGAAGATGAGGACAGAGGGCTTATGGTGGTGTCCCGTTTGCTGTGATGTCGATTCTTAATTCAATATTCAACATTTCATTATTGGTATGCTTTATTTACAGTAGGTTGCTTGTAAAGAGTCTTACACTGTTTATGTTTATGTTCTAGATAAAGAATGACCAGACAATTCTTCTTCTTTTCTTTGACAGTTCCCTGTGAGCCTCCAGTGATCTTGGGCTACAGGAATAACTCCCATGTGGAAGTGCCTTACACCCAGCAGTCGATTGATTTGGTCTGTGAGGCGCGCAATGGAAGACCAGCAGCAACCATAGAGTGGTTTCGTAATGGGATCAAGGTGAGCCTAGGCCTAAGGATTAGGTTGGTTTGGAATCCCTAACGAAATCTTTGTAAACTTGTGGACTGGGAGTTGAGTTAAGTCAAGAATTGACAGCGCAGCACTCGGGGCATTCCCATCTACTCACTGTTCCCATCTTCAGCAGCCAGCACAGACTTCCAGTACTAATGGTACCAGTTGTAGTCAGGATATACAGTGGAACCTCGCTTAAGCAAAACACTCGTTATGCGAAACAGTTTTTCTCATATAAATTAATGTAAAATACGATAATGCATTCCATGTCAAAAAAAAAATTACTTACAAAGTGCTATGTATAATGTTTATTCAAAGAAAATTAAATACATATTGTTAAGGAGAGTGAGTCATCTTCATCTTTTCTTCAAACGCAGAACAAACCTACCTTGAATGCAAATTCGATTTGCAGAAAAAAATGTGGAAATAATTATGATACATAGCTAATAATTTTTTTTTACTAGAAAGATGTCCAGAGACATTTGTTTTTGCAGACGCTTCAAAATTTGGCGAAAATGCGACACAGCATTATCATTAAATAAATTTGCCACGCACATAGCCACTTCCTTATTAGTGTGATGCTTCTCAATGTAAAATGCAACAGTTTCCCATGCTTTCAGCACTTCTTTTTTTTTCGCCAGAAGATTGTTGCTTTCCTGTTACCTCCTCCTCCTCTGACAAACTTTCCTCCAAAACTTCTTGCTGTGAAACACAATGCAACTCGATAAGCTCTTGGGTGGTCAGCTCTTGACTGTGCTCTTCCACAAGCTCTTCGATATCACTGTTATCCACCTACAATCCCATGATAGTGGCCAAAGACACAATCTCGCTGACTACAGGTTCTACAGGTACTGTCTAGAACCCCTCAGTCACAAATCGACAACACTCTCCGGCCAAATCTTCTTCCAAGCATAAATTAGGGTTCTCGAGGTAACCCCTTCGCCTGCCTTGTCGATCATCTTGAGGCAGGCAACGATGTGGAAGTGATTTTTCCAAAACTCTTTGAGAGTGAGGTTGGTCCCTTCAGTCACCTGGAAACAATGCTCGAAGATTATGTAGCATGCTTGGTCAGAATTGAAACCATACATTTACACACCATTCATCTATACAGTCATTAGGTTAGTAGCTGAACCCACATTACTTTGGACAGAAAGAGTTGCAAGTAAAGATCTTGAACGACCTCACATCCTTTTGCTTGCTGTTTCAGGTCACAGACAATGTCAGGTATGGCACCGAGTCCAATCCTGATGACAAACGAGAGACAGCCACCAGCACAATTACAATATCATTGGCCAACCACCAGGAGGAGAATGGAACTGTCTACAAGTGCCAGGCTAAGAACAGTGCAGTCTTTGGTCCACCACTGAGCATGTCTGTAACTCTTAGCATTCTGTGTAAGTTTCAGACTGTGACAATGTCAATCTCCTGAAAACTCACGTCATGTTTTAAATCATTCTCCGTGTCCCATAAGTTTCTATGTAAAGGAAATAATATATATATATATATTTTTTTTGTCTAGTGAAAATCAATAAACTCCGTTAGTCCCAAGCAGTTCTTAATGTGACAGTGGCTATCACATAGCTTATGTACATTAAGATTGCAACCTCTGTTTCCTAATGATTTAGTTGAGCTGCGTCAAGAATTGACATCACAGCACTGGGCTCATTCCCATGTGTACGTCATCCTCATCTTCAGCAGCCAGCGCAGAGTTCAAATACTGATGATACCAGTCACAATCTGGTTATATGTCTGTCTTGCCTTTCCTCTGAGTGTAGTGAGCCGACCAGACCCTCTGGTTACACCAGGTGCCTTATTCTCTCCAGGCGATAATAATCTTGTTTCTCTACTGATTCCGTTGCTTGTTCCCAAAGGGCCTTTACCACATCTGCCTTGTCATGTATCATCAGTTCACCACCCAGTGGTGCAGATGCAGTCAATCTGTCTGCCTGTTCATTACCAACTATGCCGGCATTGCCTGGAGAGATATCCAAAGTATGCTCACTACCAGTGACCTTCCCAGTGAAGCTTGCCACTCTGCTGGAAGCATCCCTGTCTTCCCATTTTTTCAGCATGCTTTTAGAGTCTGTTACAATTACGACATGTGTATGCATCTTGAGAGTTACTGCCTGCACCTCCATTTTCATGCTAGATGATTTAAAAATGAAGCAACAGTTGAACTAGATATGTGCAAGTAACCACTGAAGTAGAGAAGATGTACCTAACAGAAGAATAGGGCAGTTCAAAAATTAGACATGCAAGTCTGACACTGAGCACCTTATAAACAAATAGAGTGTTTCCTGGTACTGAAAGAGTAATTTAAAGAAAAAAAAATTATTTTCAAGACTACCATTGTTTTGAAAACACACTTCCATGTGTGTCCTCCACCACTGCTAAAGAAAACACCTGTAAGCACAGTTGGAGTTATTCTTATAGTGGCATTAGTGATATGTTTTTTTCTCCAGTGTATGAAAACTCATAGGACGCCTGTATATGTAATACATGTGTTGCCCACCATATTTAAAGTTAAAGTCAAAAGTACTGACTTTGCTGAGTGTATGCTATCTCTCTACCCTCTCTCTCTCTCTCCTGCTCTCTTTCTTTCTCTCTCTCTTTCTCTTTCTTTCTACACAGAGTGGCTAGCCAGCCATCTGCAGAGCATGTCGCACAAAGTTTGAACTCTAAAGCTTCAGTGAAGATCTTCGGCGATCTTCTTAAACAAACTGCACCTGCAAAAAAACAAAACAACAACAACAAAGTCTGTGAACAAAACCCATGAGCTTCAGAGTGTAAGGAAAATTGCTTGACCACTTCCCCATTAACACCAAACAACAGCCATACATGTTCACCATCTTTGTCAGTCATGTGTTGCATACTACAAGTGTGCATCACCTATTGCACATCATACAAATTTGTCACCCAATGCACAGCATTAACATGAGCCACACATTAATATGAACAACCCATTGCATACCATTTGCACACCTTTAACATGGGCCACTGGCTGCATACCATTAATATGGGCCACCTGCTGCACACCATTATTTTGGGCCACTTGTTGCACACCAATAATATAGGCCAGTCATTGCACACCATGAACCCTTTTCTGGTCAGTTTAAAACAAAAATCCAGGGGTTGAAACCTAAGATCGCCAGGCAGAGAGGCAATCCTGCTAGCTTTTGCGTGAAAATGCCTGTGACATAGGCTGCAGTACTTCTAAGGGGGTTATGTTAGGGCCAGTCGCTCTGTTTTTTGAAGCGTTAAAAGCACTAGCGTGCTGAAATATACAACACACAATATCAACGGTATCGTGGAACACCCCTCTGACCTTGTGCAAAGGTCACGAGGCTTAGCAACTACTGATCAGAAGTGACCTAGTGTGTAAATAGGCAGGGCTTGAGGAGATAATGTTACATGTTCCTTTTTGTGGAATTATTTTTCAATTACTGTGTGATCCACAGTTCCTCCGGGGCCACCACAAATCTCTGGGTATGACGATAGGGTGGTGAACATCAACGACACGCTGGTCTTGACCTGCTCGTCAACCGGAGGAAATCCCCTCGGAACTGTGACCTGGTACCGCAATAACGAGCCTGTAGACTGGAGCTTCACCAGTGGTGGCGGCGTCGCTATCAACCAGTACACATTTCGGGTCACCTCTACAGACAACAATGCAGTGTATCGGTGCCAAGTTACCAATTTGGTGGCCACACAGCCTTTGACAGCAGAATATACTTTGAAAGTTCACTGTGAGTTTTGTTGTTGTTGTCAGTGGGGCTGTATTATTAAGCTTTTATGTGGGTTATCACCATCATCATCATCATCACCAAATTGATCATTCTATTTAACATCATAGACAACACTACACATTATCTGTGCTGAGTGACCACACAGCCCTTAACAGCAAACTATGTACAGTAGAACCTCGCTTAACGAGCACCTTTCATAACGAGTAATTCGCATAACGAGCAAAAAAAATTGTAAAAGAATGACTCGCTTAACGAGCGACGTTTCGCATAACGAGTGGCGAGGAGAGGGAAAGTCCCGGATTTTGCGCATGTTAAATAAGTCTGTGATCAACACTCGTTCTAGTAGCATCGTAGTGTCGCTTGTGATCACACATTTTCTCAAACTTGTGTTTTTTGTGATACATGTACATGAATCCTCCAGGCCTACAAGATTACCTCCTAGATCAATTTAAGTTAATCAAGATCCAGTTTCTGCCTCCCAACACCACTCCGTTACTCTAACCAATGGACCAGGAAGTTATTTATAACTTTAAGAAGCTCTACACTAAAGCACTCTTCGAGCATTGTTTTCAGGTGACTAAAGGGACCAACCTCACTGTCAGAGAGTTTTGGAAAAATCTCCTCAACATCGTTGCCTGCCTCAAGATGATCGACAGGTCGGGGAAGAAGGGTTACCAAGAGAACCCTAACTACTGCTTGGAAGAAGCCTTGGTCAGAGAGCGTTGTCGATCTGTGACTTTGAGGGGTTCGAGACAGTACCTGTGGAACCTGTAGTCAACGAGATTGTGACTTTGGCAACTATCATGGGATTGTGGGTGGATAACAGTGATATCAAAGAGCTTGTGGAAGAGCAGAGCCAAGAGCTGACCATCGAAGAGCTTATGGAGTTGCATTGTGTTTCACAGCAAGACGTTTTAGAGGAAAGTTTGTCAGAGGAGGAGGAGGAGAAGGTAACAGAAAAGCAACAATCTTCTGGCGAAATATGAAAAATGCTGAAAGCATGGGAAACTGATGCTTCTCACATTGAGAAGCATCACCCTAAAAAGGAAGTGGCTATGCACGCTAGTATAAAAATAATTAGCTATGTAACATCGTTATTTCGACTTTTTTTTCCTGCAAATCAAATTCGCATTCCATGTGGGTTTGTTCCGCATTTGAAGAAAAGATGAAGATGATTCACTTTCCTTAAATATGTACATAATTTTCTTTGAATAAATTTTACAGTATACCTTATACATAGAATTTTGTGAGTATTTTTTTCGACATGAAACACATTATCGTATTTGACATTAATTTATATGAGAAAAATTGTTTCGCATAACGAGTGTTTCGCTTAACGAGCATGATTCTGGAACAAATTATGCTCGTTAAGCGAGGTTCCACTGTATATGAAAGTTCATTGTGAGATTCTTTTCAAAGTGGTTGTGTCAGTTAAGGATATCATATGGAATATTACCATTATCATCTTATTCTTCTGCTGTGTTCTGAGAAAAAGTGTAAATAGCACATTCTTTTCTGGTTTAGACTTAGGCTGTCATATCTTTCAACCTAACATGTCTGATTTCATCAAAATCTGAATTAGTCGTCTTCTATAACAAGCTGCTTACATGTGGCAGAGAGTTTGCTTGTTGCTTGTTATGGTATTGCTTTGTTTGGTCTTGATTGTATGCTGATTATTATCAGATTGTATTGTCATGAATTTTTTTGGGGGTGTGGTTTCAGTTCCACCAACCAGTGTTAAAATATCTGGAGCTCAGGAGCCGATCCAGGCAGGGAGGACTATTACCTTGACCTGCGTGTCAGCCAACTCTAACCCTAAAGCAACCATTACCTGGTTTGCCAAAAACAGACAGATCCCTCAGAGTGACATTGTTGGTAAGATGATAAAAAGATGTTTAGTCTTTGACCTCCTCAGAGCTACTAGGCTTCAGAGACGTAATTCTGTCTTCTTCTTCTTCTTCTTCATTGTCTTCTTCCTCCTCCTCCTCCTCCTCCACCACCATCACCACTACTACTACCACTGCCACTACTGCTAATGCTGCTGCTGCTACTACTACTACTACTACCACGCTGACCCACATATGGTTTTGCAGCAGGACCAGGGATTACACTGGAAAAAACCTATCTACACCTCTCTGCAGTCATCCTAGAAACAGGATCCAAACCTGCCAGGCCAGCATAGATAGAATCAACCTAGGCCAGAGGCCTCAACAGACATGACTGGGCATACCTCTTCTCTCATGGAGCCTACAGTGTACCAGACAGTTTGCTTCTTCCTCCACCTCAGTCTGAGGTCTTTCTCAATCATATTCTAACACAGGATTGACTGGTCAGATGACTACTGAAGTTGTCCTACTATCACAGTGCACCTACCTCTGACAGTGAGGAACCATCAGGTTTGCACATAGATGATGGTAGTTCTTCTTCTTCTTTCGTTCGCTTGAAATAGATTATCTATATCTGCAGTGTTGTCTCTAGTATGAACTTCACTGTCTGTTGTAATTCACTCAGTGACCTGTAAAGTTTGACTTGCACCGGTGTTTCTCTTGGCCAAATATTTTGCCTTGATATGTTGTGTTTGGGACAGTCTTGGAGGACATGATCTGTTGTCTCAGGTGCCAATCCACAAGTGCACATGGCTGATTCACCAATTTTAAATTTTGTGTACATGTGGCTGTGAAGTTGATTTGTGTCCTGTTCTAAGGCGTAGAAAAATAACTTGCACTGGTCTGTCCCTAAAATGGTAATCGTCTTGTGCCGGTTTTGGTGGTTTTCTGATTGATTTGATTATTCTCTTCTTTTGTTAAAAAAGAGACTGGTACATCAGGCTGTTCTTCATTTACACCTTCCTTAGCTAGTTTATTAGCTCTTTAATTTCCAGGAACTCCACACTGGGATGGTATCCATTGCTTAGTTACCTTACACCGGCTGCCTAGTTGGAGAGTAGTGTTTATATACCTGGTAGTTTTCCAGATTAGAGTGCCTGAAGCACCGCTCTTACATCTGTTACCCATGTTTATCAGGACGCATAAGGGAAAACAAAGAATTGTAACACAACATACCATGCATGTCATCAGAGTTAACTAAGGAAGGTTGGCATGGACTGACTATAAAGCTAGCTGAAAAGTTTAACTGGTCCTGAGCAAGTATTCAGAGGGCTTCATATGAGGGTTTGTTGAGGAACTTTGCTCTTTTTCTTTCTCTATCCCCATAAAATCTTGAGCTGAAAATTGGACATTAAAATGTTGAACTAAAAATGAAACATCTCAAGCAAGCAAGGTCTCCCCCCCCCCCCCCCCCCCACCCCACCCTCCAGTAATTCTAGAATGTAGAATAATTATTATTACTAATTGTTATGGATAAGAACCTGACAATATATAGGTTTTTAAATCGTATAAGCCAAACTGAATAAGGTCTGCACATATAGATATCAATTTATGTTCTGTTTTCGAGCTTATTCCTAGATTTGTATAAAACGGGATAATATAATTTTTTTTAGGAATCCCGGCAGGACAGCCAGGACACATGGAAAACACGGGACTGTCCCGGTGAAAATAAATGTATGGTCACAGTGTCAGTGAAGTATAGGCCCTCAGCCAGCTTATGCCAACTTATTCTATCCTTTGCTCTCACTTGTAGCTTACCCCATGTCCTCCCTCTCTTTTTAACTCCTCTCTTCTGTTGCCTTCTCTGTGTTTCTTTAAAAAAAAAATTTTTTTTTTTAGGGTGTACCTTTAATTCTGTGCCATGGGATTTCCAGTGTAAAGGCATTCTAGTTATATAGTTCTCAGGTTTCCCTCACCTTGTGTCCTATACAATGCCAGCATCTTATGTCCACATTTTGATTCAGTGAAATTTCTTTTGTTCTCTTTCAAAGCTCTACATTAGTGATTCCGTCGTACGATTTTAATTACCTCTAAGTGTCCTCTTCATACAGCAAGCATTTGCTCTTTTAGGAGATAAAGACAACAGAAGAAGTATTTGTAAATTCACTGTCACGTTGTCAGCATGGTGTTCTTTCTCCTTCAACAGAGTCTCATGCAGCCTCACCAGAAGGTGGGTACATCACCAAGTCTGAGCTTAGGACCACAGTGGGCCATCAAGACCACAACAGCGTTATCACTTGTCAAGCTAGCAACCCTGAGTTTGGGCAGACAGTGGCGGACACTCTTACTCTGAGTGTACTGTGTGAGTGGTTGTTAGGTCCCTGCTTCTGTTTTATCACTTATTATTTTTTCTTGTTGCCACTGTGGCCAAATTTCCTGTCTGCTTAACTCTCCTTCTTGACTTCTTGTTCATGTATCACCTTTTCTTGACTTCTTGTTCATGTATAACCTTTTCTTGACTTCTTGTTCATGTATCACTTTTTCTTGACTTCTTGTTCATGTATCACCTTTTCTTGACTTCTTTTCATGTTTCACCTTTTCTTGACTTCTCTTTCATGTTTCACCTTTTCTTGACTTCTTGTTCATGTTATACCTTTTCTTGACTTCTTGTTCATGTTTCACCTTTTCTTGACTTCTTGTTCATGTTTCACCTTTTGTGGACTTTTTGCTCATGTTTCACCTTTTCTAGGATTCTTGTTCGCACACCTTTTCTAGACTTCATGTTCATTTATTGCCTCTTCTTGACTTCATGTTCACATATCACCTCGTCTGGACTTCATTTTTATTTATGACCTCTTCTAGACTTCATGTTTATTTATCACTACTTCTAGACTTCATGTTCACAGGATATACATTGCACCTTAGGTAAGAAAGAGATGGGAAAGCTGGCGAGAGACCAAGTTTCTTTCAGGCAGACCGTGGTGAGAGCAACATTCTGCAAAGGACATACTACATGATGATACTATTTTCGTTACTCTAGTCCAGTGTTTCCCAAACTTGTGTGTGTGCCTTGCTAAAATTCATTTGATCCATTATTAACTTAAACTCTCAACAAGTCCATTTTTGAATTGCCCCCCCCCACCCCCCTTTGACAATCAAATTGTCCCCCTCTGGGGCCCCACATTGGGAAACTGCTCTAGTCTGTTTGTAAAGTGATGGCTTCTTCTGCATGAAATCCCATTAAATGTACTATTTTCTCTTTATTCTGTGTTTGTAATGTGTATATCTTCTTCAACAGACCCACCAAACCAGCCAGAAATTGATGGCCACACAGGAACTATGAAAGCGGGAGACCTCAAGAAGATGACCTGCCTGTCTGTGGGAGGCAATCCCGTTGCAGAGTTGAAGTGGTATAAGGGTCAGTCATCTGCATGTGCTGTTCACTTCTTGAGGTTTTGTTTTGTAACTGTGTCTTAGTCAGCGTCAATGTAAATTTGGCATTCCCATGCATGCTCAGTCCTCTGATGCAGCAGTTACTCCTAGGTACATGTACTAATTGTTCTTATGAGGAGCTTCTTCTATTTCTCCTCTACCTCTTCTTCTTTTTCTCTTCTTCCTCTACCTCCTCCTCCTTCCTCCTTCTTCTTTTTCTTCCTTCATTTTTTGTTCCTTTTCTTTTTTCTTCCTTCTTCTTCCTTCTTCTTGTCTTCTTCTTCTTTTTCTTCCCTCTTCTTTTCTTCTTCTTTTTCTTCTTCTTCTTCTTCTTCTTCTTCTTCTTCTTCTTCTTCTTCTTCTTCTTCTTCTTCTTCTTCTTCTTCTTCTTTCTTCTTCTTCTTCTTCTTCTTCTTCTTCTTCTACTTCTACTTCTTCTTCTTCCTCCTTCTCCTCCTCCTCCTTCTCCTCCTCCTCCTTCTCCTCCTCCTCCTTCCTCTTATTTTTCTTCTCCTTCTTCTTTTTTTTCTCCTCCTCCTCCTTCTTCTTCTTCTTCTTTTTCTTCTCCTCCTCCTTCTCCTTCCTCTTTTTCTGCTTTTTTTTAATCTAAAGATGTAGATACGTTGTGCCCATTGTAGCCTTTCAGATGACAGATCTGACCTCTGCAGATGTTTGATGCCCGAGTTAGCCTTCCCGGCCATGCGGAGCTGGTTATAATGCCCCCTATCTCAGCCTCTAAGGCAGCATAGATGTGCTTCACTAAACTTTACTGCCTATGTCATGTAGTCATGTTAGTGTCAGGTGTTGATCATTATTCACTAGCCTAGTCTATACATTTGTCATGTAGCAGGTCCTTTGCAGAACATCTATGTCATCATTTTTGTCCAATCGGCCATGGGAGCTTGATATGACCAAAATATTTCATCTTCCGAGACAAGATGCTGTATATTAGCTAATCTTCCTTGATGTTCAGATCTTTTGAAATGTCAGTATTTCTTCTCTTCTTTGTCTATGTCCATACATTTGAGCTCAAAAGCCTCTGTTTTCTTTCTTAAGGAGTACATACAGCTTTGATGATATCTGCAATCTTCCTGCTTCTTCCCAGATGCAGTGTTGCATTGCTTGCCAGTTGGTCGGCTCATTCAGTATTTGTAACACATGGTTGTTTGTTGCACCCCTCGGAGCTACGGTATACTGGTTTAACTACAACTATGACCCAAAGAGTTGCACCCTTGATGACAATAAAATGGAGCAAATCCCAGATACCCTGTTGAACCTTCTAATAAATTATAATGACTGCTACAGTAGCCCGCTGACTAGATGCTTATATGCACTCATGAAGATTTTGGGTTCAAATCCACATTGAATCAGAATTTTTAAAAAATTGGCATTGCCTCTAAATGTCAACTCAGGCTAAAATGGGTACCTAACAAATGACCTAGGAAGTAAAAGCAGCTGACCACTTCACCAGTCGGGTGCTGACTGATCTGTAAAGAGATGAGGCTGGCACCATATGCCCAAATGCACTGGGTAAAAGGGGTCTTTTAGTTACTTTACTTACCCATAATGGCTATTCCCTGTATGGGTTTCAAGGCCTCATTTGGGGTTAGGGGGGAGTAGGCTCACTGCCCTAGGAAAGCATGATGTAAAAGGTAACTAATTAAGGTTTGAGAGGCAACAAACTAACAGTTTGCACAAAAAGTAAGCCAGATCTGTAAAACTGATGTGCATGCAAAACATTAAGTTCTAGAAGTTGACGAACAGCCGGAATTTCTGCCAGAGTTTACAGCTGGTGAACACGAAGAAGAAGATAAAAGAAGTAGTGGTTACAGTAGGGATGTTGAGTTAAGTTTTACTCAGGGGCAGAAGTTTAAATGTGGGGCTTGTCACGGGGCCAGAAGCCTGAGCTCCAGCACAGAAAGATCATCGATAGAGTGCAACCGCTAGTGATGAGCAGGCAACTTGCTAGGCCTCCATGCTACTTGCTAGGCCTCCATGCTACTTGCTAGGCCTCCTTGCTACTTGCTAGGCCTCCATGCTACTTGCTAGGCCTCCATGCTACTTGCTAGGCCTCCTTGCTACTTGCTAGGCCTCCATGCTACTTGCTAGGCCTCCTTGCTACTTGCTAGGCCTCCATGCAACTTGCTAGGCCTCCATGCAACTTGCTAGGCCTCCATGCTACTTGCTAGGCCTCCTTGCTACTTGCTAGGCCTCCATGCAACTTGCTAGGCCTCCATGCAACTTGCTAGGCCTCCATGCTACTTGCTAGGCCTCCATGCTACTTGCTAGGCCTCCATGCTACTTGCTAGGCCTCCATGCTACTTGCTAGGCCTCCATGCTACTTGCTAGGCCTCCATGCTACTTGCTAGGCCTCCATGCAACTTGCTAGGCCTCCATGCTACTTGCTAGGCCTCCATGCTACTTGCTAGGCCTCCATGCTTCTTGCTAGGCCTCCATGCTACTTGCTAGGCCTCCATGCTACTTGCTAGGCCTCCATGCTACTTGCTAGGCCTCCATGCAACTTGCTAGGCCTCCATGCTACTTGCTAGGCCTCCATGCTACTTGCTAGGCCTCCATGCTACTTGCTAGGCCTCCATGCTACTTGCTAGGCCTCCATGCTACTTGCTAGGCCTCCATGCAACTTGCTAGGCCTCCATGCAACTTGCTAGGCCTCCATGGCTCAAATTTGGCCTGCAGGTTGCTGGTTAAAATAGCCCTGGGCTACAGCAAATACTGTATAGTACTGCAGTCCTGTGCAGGTAAGGATTGTGCTAATAGTTCCTTGGCTCATCTGAGAGAGTAAAGGGCAGTAGAGAAAATTATGAGTTCCCCGTGTGGGTTCTGGGGCCCTGTTATAGGGAAAAACAAGAAGAATAGCCCACTGCCTACCCAAAAGCATGTCGTAAGAGTCGACTAATTGGGAGCTTCCTTCAAAGTCGGAGTGCATCTGCCTGAGAGGCAAGGAACCGACAGTCTGCATACAAATGAGTCAGATCTGTAAAACTGATGCACGTGCAACACTCAGGTTCTGAAACAGGACTGCAGTCCAAAAGTGGATGAACAACCAAAATTTTCTGCCAGTTTACAGCTGGTGAACCTGAAGAAGAAGAAGAAAATTATGAGTAAATTATTTTTGATAACTAAATAAATCAGTTGGGAAAAAAAAAGGAGCTGTTGAAGGAATACATGTATAATTCGCTCTTCTTGCGTTTCTTTCAGGAAGTACATTGATCAGAGATGCTGTTTACAGATCTCTAGGCAACCTGGCCTCCTCTGAGATTGCCATCGTACTCAAGCCAAGTGATAACGGAGCTGTGTACAAATGCAAGGCCTCCAACAGGGCTACCCCAACCCCACTAGAGGATAGTGTTCGACTGGCAGTAAATTGTTAGTATGGCTTTGATAACTTATCAGTGGCACAAACCCTTTTATGGTTCATTTAACTCTTTTAGTCTCAAACAGGGCAGTAACAAAAGAACAAGAGCAGAAACTAATGAGGTATGAAATGAGATGTTTGAGAAAAGCAGTCAACAAAAGAACAAAAGCAGAAACTAATGACGTGTGAAATGAGATGTTTGAGAAAAGCAGTCAACAAAAGAACAAAAGCAGAAACTAATGACGTGTGAAATGAGATGTTTGAGAAAAGCAGTCAACAAAAGAATAAAAGCAGAAACTAATGATGTGTGAAATGAGATGTTTGAGAAAAGCAGTCAACAAAAGAACAAGAGCAGAAACTAATGAGCTGTGAAATGAGATGTTTGAGAAAAGCGGTCAGCATAATAGGAAGAGACCATTAAAAAAATGAAGATATCATGAGAATGATGGGAACAACGCCTCAAATTAGATTTCTTGAAAAACAAAGACTGGAATGGTTTGGCCATCTGGTCAGAATGAATCTAGCGTCACTGGTTGCAAGATTATACAAAAATATATATGAAATATTTATGAAAATTGAAACATCAAGAGGCAGAGAAAGACCCCATTACAGGAAAAACAAGAATAGACTCACTGCCTCCCTAACAAGCATGTCATAGGAGTCGACTAATTATGGTCTTCCTTCGAACTTAGATTGTCTTTCTACAAATAAGACAGATCTGTTTACAGCCGGTGAATGCAGAGGAGAAGAAGAAGATGAACCACAATGTTAAACATATTTTCAACAATTTTGGAAACCTGTTAGGCAATGAAATAACCTTTGTGGTTCTTCCACAGTTCCCCCCTCACAGGTGACCATCACAGTCAGCCCCTCTCAACCCAAGGTTGGCCAGCAGGTGGACCTTGTCTGCACGTGCTCATCCAGCAACCCGGCAGCTGAGATCATGTGGGTGAGAAATGGCAGACGCACCGTGGGTGTTGATCTGGGCACTGCTGATGCAGAGTTTGGGGGCAAGAACACTACCAACCGCCTGAGGTTTACTCCCACATCCAGAGACCACAACGCTGTCTATGGCTGCCGGGCGACTAACAGAGAGCTGGATCAGACGGTGAATGATGCAGTGACCTTGGATGTTTTGTGTAAGGGAGTTACTTAGTCAACAGATTATCATCATCGCATTTCGAACCATTCAGTCCATAAGTGCTCAGATCCCGTCTTCAGTATCTCCCTCAGCATGTAGTAGCTTATGACACCAGTTCTATGTTGGTTTACTATTCTTCTTTGGGGCCCGGTGTAGCGCTCTTGTCTGGCTTCACCCCTTTTGATGTTATGTTCATGTAGTCTCGTCAGTGTTGCAGATTCACAATCATTACTTGATTTGTTTAATCGAGCCACCTCTTTGAGGGCATTCAGTATATCAGCCTTGTCCATTGCTTGTCCATGTGAGCATCACTTGCAGTCTGTCAGCTCGTTCATTGCCCTCTACACCAAAATGCCCCAGAACAAATATGAAACTGGTTTTTGTCAGCCTAGGTCTAATCAGATGCTCCACCCATTGTCTTCGTATGCAACCCTTCTCGATCTTCTTGAGCATATTCATTGAGTCGCTGAGAAAGCTTGCCAGGGTGAAAGTCTGTGTTTCTAGCCAGGCCTTGTGTAAAGAAGAAAGTCAGGTAATTACTAATGTGACCATTTTATTGTGCTTAGTTAGAAGTAGGATTATGATTCCTAGGATGGTTGGTTGGTTGGTTTATTAAAGATTTCTTTCATTGATATCATTACACTTTAATAACACTTTAACACTTCATATTCTGTTTGGTTGCATCGTTAGACAGTTGAGTGGTTGTTAAACATAGCAGGAAGGATAGTTGGCTGAGTGTTTGATTATTTGGGTAGATAATTTGTTGAATTGTTGGGTGGTGATGGATTGATGCATTAAACATCTGTGGTTAAGCACCAGAAAGGAAATTAAAATTTTGAGAGCATGCATCTTACCTGTAGCAACATACGGATATGAGTCGTGGACTATCTCCCAGTTCTTAAGAAAGAAAATGGGGGCTTTTGAGCTGAAATGCTAGACAAGATTCTCAGAATACAGTAGACAAAGAAAAGAAGAAATACTGACATTTTGAAAGATCTGAACATCAAGGAAGATTGGCTAACAAACAGCATCTTGACTTGGAAGTTGAGACAAAAATCCTAGCAGAAGGCATGGTACCAGGAAGGAGGGGCAGGTTAAATATGAAAGTGCATGAGGCGAGAGAGAGGGCCAGAGACCGCATTTTTAAGGCTGACCATGATGAGAGCGACCTTCTGCAAAGGACCTGCTACATGATGATGATGACGATGATGATGGTTGTATAATTGATTAAATGCTTGGATAGTTGACTTGGTAGCTGATTAATTGTATGGTTGACTGAATGCAGAGTTGAATGAGCGGTTGATTGGATGCAGAGTTGAATGAGCGGTTGACTGAATGCAGAGTTGAATGAGTGGTTGACTGAATGCAGAGTTGAATGAGTGGTTGACTGGATGCAGAGTTGAATGAGCGGTTGAGTGAATGCAGAGTTGAATGAGCGGTTGACTGAATGCAGAGTTGAATGAGTGGTTGACTGGATGCAGAGTTGAATGAGTGGTTGACTGGATGCAGAGTTGAATGAGCGGTTGAGTGAATGCAGAGTTGAATGAGCGGTTGACTGAATGCAGAGTTGAATGAGCGGTTGACTGAATGCAGAGTTGAATGAGTGGTTGACTGGATGCAGAGTTGAATGAGCGGTTGAGTGAATGCAGAGTTGTATGAGCGGTTGACTGAATGCAGAGTTGAATGAGTGGTTGACTGGATGCAGAGTTGAATGAGTGGTTGACTGAATGCAGAGTTGAATGAGTGGTTGACTGGATGCAGAGTTGAATGAGCGGTTGACTGGATGCAGAGTTGAATGAGCAGTTGACTGAATGCAGAGTTGAATGAGTGGTTGACTGGATGCAGAGTTGAATGAGCAGTTGAGTGAATGCAGAGTTGAATGAGCGGTTGAGTGAATGCAGAGTTGAATGAGCGGTTGACTGGATGCAGAGTTGAATGAGTGGTTGACTGGATGCAGAGTTGAATGAGCGGTTGAGTGAATGCAGAGTTGAATGAGCGGTTGAGTGAATGCAGAGTTGAATGAGCGGTTGAGTGAATGCAGAGTTGAATGAGCGGTTGAGTGAATGCAGAGTTGAATGAGCGGTTGAGTGAATGCAGAGTTGAATGAGCGGTTGAGTGAATGCAGAGTTGAATGAGCGGTTGAGTGAATGCAGAGTTGAATGAGTGGTTGAGTGAATGCAGAGTTGAATGAGTGGTTGAGTAGAACTAAATATGTGTAGCTCAATAGTTGTAGTTTTTATCTGTAAATATTTGACACAAATAGTTTTGTTCAAAATCAGGTTGTTGGAATTGGTTCAAGACGTCAAGGTGTGACTTCGCTGTCTTACTGTCAGCTCCATAATTTTGTAGCTTTGCCCTACACTCATTCTATGTAGCTGTATGAGCATAACATACTTTGTAGATGAAAATATAATTGATGTGTGAAAGATGAGTGTCTGGAAGGGCCGATTGTAAGATGTGCCTGCATGCCGAATGTTTGACCCCTGAAAAATAAAGTTTTGTTTGTTTGTTGATTCGTTCTGACCCTAGGAATAAAATTGTCTGTAGAAGTGAACTGGTAGCCGCACCTAATACAGCTGCTGTTTTATCTGCAACATCATCATTTCACACCTTAGTATCAGGGGTTAGTGATTGGTGAGGACCACGGCTTTGTTTTATGGTGATATACAGCAGTAGCGACCTGCGACGTCCCATACCACGATAAAAATCCGCGCAGCCTGCAGTGGGTTTCGATCGCGGTATGCGGCGTCCGTGGCTAAGGCGTTGCGAGTCCAACTCGTAAGCCAGCATACCGCGATCGAAACCCACTGCAGGCTGCGCGGATTTTTGTCGTGGTATGGGACGTCGCAGGTCGACCCAGCCTAAAATGGGTACCAAGATGGGCTGTCCTGGGAAAGTAAAGACAGCCGGCGTAATGCTGACCACATTACCCACAGAGTGCTGATGGTCTGTAAAAATATGGGACGCTCTGCCCATATGCCCGATGCGCCGAAAAGCGTGAAAAGGGAACTTTACTTTTTTTTTTTTTACAGCAGTAGGCAGCACTAGCATCTTTTTGTTTAAAAAAAAATTACACATTGAGTAAAAACGTAAAGGTCCCTTTTCCGCCCCTTTAGACATAAAGGGCTAGAATGATATTTTTGTACACCAATCGGCACAGGATGGGTGAAGTGGTCAGCATTACACTGGCTGACTTTACTTCTCTGGCTCTGCCAGGAAGTGAACCCAAGACCTTCCAATCCGCATGTAAGCGTCTAGCCGCTATGCCACGGCGACTCCCACATAGTACCAGTACCTGTTTTATAGTGGAAAGAAGCCCTGGTGAGGACCAAAATCACAACACTTTGGACAGATCAATAGGTGCTCTGATCTTCTCCTGACTAGCTTCACATGCATAACTTACAATGCCGGTTCTGTATTGATTAATCAGCAGTGTAGCAACTTCTTAGATTAGAGAGAAAATTGGAATAAGACCATGTCTGGATTATACTGATAGACAAAGAATGAAATGGTTCGGCAATGTAGTGAAAATGCAGCCAGACCAAACTGCTTATGAGACTTTTTACAGAAGAACTGGGATAAAGGAGAGAGGGTGACCAAGAAAGAGATGGGTAAATGGTATAGTTGAAACCTGCAAAGAGATAAATCCATCCCCATGCCAAACGAGAAGTGCAAGACAGACACAGGAAACCATGACGCTGGGCTACAGCCTGGTAACAGTGAGATGACAAAAGAAGAAGGTAGGTAGATAGTTGTAACCCACCAAGATATCACACAAGCGATAAACACCCGGTGACACGAAGTGCCACCATGCAGATGAGGATCACCCGTGGAGATATCCCAAAAACCCCTTTCAACCCTTAGTCCTTATCTATGGTCTAGCCCATATTTATGGCCTGGCTATATTCAGGGCCCCCAGTAGAAGCCAGGGTGGGGCTTCAAATAAAAAATTGCATCCCACATAGGGATGGCTATAACTAACACAAAAGAAGAAGAAGTCACAACTACTGTTTTTGTTAGTACTTGCCAGAAAATAAGCTTGATCAATTTTTTTTTAAATGTTTGTTCCAGTCCCGCCAGAGTTTGATGAGGACACACTACCAGCCAGGATTGACATCAAGAAGGGAGAAGGCACCAGCCTGAACTTGACTGCATATGCCAACCCTCCAAACGTGACATATCAGCTGTACAAGGACGGGGTTGTCTTTACTCTGCCTTCCCGGTTCACAATGAGTGGTGGGGTCCTGAATATCTCTAACGCCCGGAAGGAAGACAAGGGAAATTACATCATCAAGGGAACTAATAACCAGGGATTTGCAACTTTCAACTTCTCTGTTAATGTCAAATGTAAGTATTGCCAAAGTCATGAGTAACATTAATTAATGGGTGTTGAGAATATGAGAAATGAGTAGGTTGGACAGAGTCATATTTGAAATTTAAAAGTCACACAGTCTAACTCTTTGTATCACAGGTATTTTTCAAAATTCACTACTGTGGATGTCAGTATGCTATTTTGAAGCCCCACCCTGGCTTGGTACTTGGTACTATTAAAAAAAAAAAAATTTGCGCTTCTTTCAACCGGCTCCTAGTTAGAGCAGTGGTTATATCGAAGGCTGTGTATAGTTGTTTGGAATTCGTTTTCCAATTAACGTCAAGTTTTTGTTGTGGCGTTTATATTACGCCTGAGGTTTCTGTTGCTGTCAGAGAGTAGGAAGGGATCTCGGTCTGCCCTAAAAAGGGCAGACCATAGCCTGGGACGGCCTGGATCAGGTAGGGTGGGGGTCAATTTGGCGGAGGACATCATGCCTGGCTGGTTGCGAGCTGTGAGGTTTCTCCATGCTGGTGGGCGGGCTTGATCAGCTGCCATGCGGCTTGGGCGGTTTTTTTTGGTAGCTGGTTTCCACTGTGTCTTCTTTAGTATTGGCTTTTGTCGGGGCCACTAAATATAGCCGGGCCTGAAATATGGCCTAACGGCTAAACAGGGTTTCCAGGACCTCTCCACGGGTGATCCTTATCTGCATGGTGGCACTTTGTGTGTGTGATGTCCTGGTGGGGTACATTTACCTACCTTCCGTTTGAACAAAGAAGATACAAGCTATAGAATGCACAATTTATTGCCTTGCATTTTGCACTATCCCGTCAGGTGCATACTACATCAACAGTTATTAAATAAATGAAACAGATAATTGGATCCTTTATAGTATGAGTACAAATTCAGCTACACTTAAAAGTGACTGCCCGTTTTACTGGGGCAATCACAATGTCAGAATCATATCTTTCTATTTACAAAGTTCAGGATGCAGATAACGAATTGTGGCGGCGCCAAGATATCTTAGCTCTCTGCCTTTGGATTACGCTTGAAGAATTTGAAATGTGTTGTCCTTGGTAACAGTGTGTCCAGATTTTAAAAGTTGGCGGGCTATTGCGGTGTCTTACCTTGGAGTAATAAGAAATAAATATGTTGACAAAGCCAAGTTTGATTAGTGAGAAATTAATATGTTGCCAGAGTCAGATTTGAGTTCTGTAAATGTACCTGATCCACAGATCCTGCAGAAATAGTAGACTTTACAAGAACTCTGGCTGTTGATGAAGGGGAGACTGCTGTATTCTCATGTAAATTTGATGCCAACCCAGTGACTCCTGACATTGTCACCTGGTCCAGGGAGAACTTTGACATGAGCCGGACCAGGGCCCGGATAGAGGGGAACATGTCCTACCTGTCTGTCAGTGACGTGACCAGAGAGGACAGCGGGACATTCAAGTGTGCAGCAGATAACAGAATAGGACCTCCTGCAACCAAGACCTCAAAGCTTTTAGTCAAATGTGAGTCTTGTTTGTCTTTACTACATTTATTTAACGCTATTGTAGGACCTCGAGTGCTGGAGGTTCCAGGTTCATTCCCCGGTAAGGGCTGGGATTTTTTCACGTGGAATTGGACCTAGTATTTTCCCTCGTCTCTGGGTAGTGAGATCGGACGCCCATGTGCATTGTTGCGCACATAAAAATTCCCTTGGCAGTTGGAAATCGAAAAGAGTAGCCTAACGGCGCTGCCCGGGCAAAATTTGGAGTTACAAATCTACTTAAAGTATTTAAGATCCTCGCCGGTGCTCCAGAGCTTGTGCACTGTGCTGAGCTTCTTCGAACAGACTTGAGTTAAAAGAAAGGACCGATCACATATGGGTTACTACCCGTGTGCCATAATGTTGATCCATTGTTCAAACTTCAAATTTCAAACACTATTGCCGGACGGAGAAGTCATGAGCCTGAGTATTTAGGGCTGCATGGCTGGTGCAGTCGCCATGAAATGTTATGTTATCACAATCAACGTCACCGCACATTAGGCATTCCCATGCATTCTCAGTCCTCTGATGCAGCAGCCACTCCAAAGTACTTCTACTAATTGTTCCCATGAGAAGCTGGTTATACTGTCCCCTGTCTCGGCCTCGAAGACGGCATAGACATGCTTCACCATGCTTTACTTCCATGTCGCCCAATCCTGTTAGTGTCAGGCATTCCTCATTATCCACTAGCCCAGTTTGTACAGCGTTGACGATATCTGCTCTGTCCATGCTTCTTCCCACACGCCTTAGTGCAGTGCTTGCTAGTTGGTCCGCTCACTCATTTCCCTTTACCCCTGCATGACCAGGTATGTAGATCCAGGTGAGGGAGGTCAAGTGCAATTTTTGAATGCTTTCTACTCATTCAGAGCGCATACCGCCTGTTGTTATTTTCTAAAGCATATTAATGGAGTCTTGATACAATTACTGCTTGCGTGGCGGTTTGCTCGGATAACCATGCTAATGCTCTATAAGCAGCGGCTATTTCCATGGTCATGCTTGACATGGTTGTCTGGTAAGCGCTGCTGTCCTCCACCATGAAATGTGCAGGTTGAGTTGTGTTTTTTTTGTTTGTTATTTTTTTTATCATCATCAACAACTGTTGTTTTATTGTGCCTCACAAAAACCTTATATTTAAATGTTTTTGTTTCCATAAAATGCAGCTTATTCTACATATTTAGACATGTATCTTTGTATGACACGGAATTGTTGATTCAGTAAATTGGACATGTCTACATAGTTCCTTGGTATGACTCTTGAATTGGTAATTCAGTACACCTTTAATTGTATGATTCAGAAATTAAGATTTGATCGAGTGGGACAAGTGTACATTTGTTCTTTATATGATACATAACTTTCTTTAGAAAGGTTTCCCAAGTGTACACATTTCACTTACGTGATTCAGAACTTTTCATTCTTTAAACTTGGATATCTTTCCTTAATATATTTAAAAACTGTTGATTTAATATAATTGGACAAGTTTAACATGTTTCCTTGGTATGATTTAAAACTGTTGATTTGAAAGAGTTGGATGGTTATACATGTTTTCCTGGGTATGATTCCGAGCTGTTGATTCAGTAAAACTAGGCATATGTACATGTTTTCCTGGGTATGATTCCGAGCTGTTGATTCAGTAAAACTAGGCATATGTACATGTTTTCCTGGGTATGATTCCGAGCTGTTGATTCAGTAAAACTAGGCATATGTACATGTTTTCCTGGGTATGATTCTGAGCTGTTGATTCAGTAAAACTAGGCATATGTACATGTTTTCCTGGGTATGATTCCGAGCTGTTGATTCAGTAAAACTAGGCATATGTACATGTTTTCCTGGGTATGATTCCGAGCTGTTGATTCAGTAAAACTAGGCATATGTACATGTTTTCCTGGGTATGATTCCGAGCTGTTGATTAAGTAAAACTAGGCATATGTACATGTTTTCCTGGGTATGATTCTGAGCTGTTGATTCAGTAAAACTAGGCATATGTACATGTTTTCCTGGGTATGATTCCGAGCTGTTGATTCAGTAAAACTAGGCATATGTACATGTTTTCTTGCTGTTATTCAGAACTGTTGTTTATCATGATAGAGTTGTACATGTCTCCTTGATATAAATCACAATCATTGATTCTGTAGGTTTAAACAAGTGTACATAATTGAACCAGAGCCGTTGATTCAGTAGATTTGAGTACAATGTAAATATATGTCCGATTATTATGGCCTGGAGAGAATGAGGCACCTGGGTGAAACCAGAGAGTCTGGCCGGCTCACTACACTCAGAGGAAAGGCAAGATGGACGTATAACCAGATTGTGACAGGTACCATTAGTATTAGAACTCTGCGCTGGCTGCTGAAGATAAGCATGGAGCACACATGGGAATGCCCTAAGTGCTATGGTGTCAATTTTTGACTCAACTCAACAATGAATATGTTTCCTTTAAACGGCTTAGTGCAGCAAAACATAGCATATAATATCACCACATCTAGTTTGAGAATGGAGGTGGAGGCAGTCACTGCTGCCTTCCACTGGCTTGAAAATCAGCTGTACACACATGTTGTAATTGTAACTGACTCACAGAGCATGTTGAGAAAGATGGAGACAGGCATTCTCCATGCAGAGTGACAAGCATCGCCTCAGAGGTCCCGGGTAGTTTCTCCAGGGTTTGCCTGTGTGTTGGGAAATGAGCAGGCAGATAGACTGGCTGGTTTTGCAACACTTGGTGGTGAACTGATGTATGACACACAGATGTTGTCATAGCCCTTTGAGAATGAGTGAACAGTGCAGAGGCACAAAGTAAATCATTACGGTCTGAGGAGTGTGGCCCTGCGAAAAGCTACCAGGGGATCTGACCGATGCTCAGCACTCAAGGGAAAGGCGAGACAGGTATACAGTCAGACAGTTACTGTTACCATCAGAATTGGAATTCTTTGCTCGCTGTTGAAAAGATGGGGGGACGCAGTGCTTATGGGAGTGTCCTGAGTGCTGTGATGTTGATTCTCAATTCAACCTTCAACATTTAGTCCTTGAAATGATAAACTAGGACTTTGATTCAGTGGGATTGAATATATGTGTTCATTCCTTAATATTAACCAGAGCCATTTTATTGAGTTCACTGAGTACATATGATTGAAAATTTCAGTTGCTCCAGTAATTGACAAGTCCCCAGAGATCAGTCGATCTGCTGGAGAGAAAGGCAGCACTGTCAGCCTCAAATGTATGGCCAAGGGTGCTCCAGAAGTTTCCATAACATGGACAAGGGTGAGCAGTTGGTTTTGTTTTTATGTTGTGAAACTAGTTGATCTTCTTCTGATGTATGTATGTGAGTATCTATCTGTATGGGGGATTGTATATGTGTGTATGCATGCATGTGTGGGTATGTCTGTAATGTGTGTCGGCATGTATGTGGGTGTGTGTATGTATGCATGTTTGTGGATGTGTGTATGCATTTGTAGATGTATAAGTATGTGGGTGTACGTGTGTGTATTTAGGTATGTATGCAAGTATGCATGTATGTGTGTAAAGATGTAGGTGTATGTATTGATGTGTGTATGTATATGTGTATGTATGTATGTATGTATGTATGTTTACATGTGAGTGTAAATGTGTGGTTGTGAGTGTCTGTACATGTGATTGTATGTGTGTGTATGCATGCATGCGAAGGTGTGTATGTATGGAATGTGTGTGTGCATATATGTCCATATATGTATGTGTGTTTTTTCTGTTTGTGTATATATGTAGATACGTTTATGTATGTGTGTGTGTGTGTGCGTGCGTGCGTGTGGTTTTTTTTTTTTTTTTTGGTATGTCTGTATATGAGTGTGCATGTATGAGAATGTGAGAGCATATATACATGTGTGTGAGTGTGTAAGACTGTGTACACAGATGTATGTATTATATTCTATAATGTACATTTTTATTCTATATCCATAACATGCATTTTAGATAACAGGCATTGGTACTCTGAAAAACGAGTGCTTAGAAGGGCCGAATGTCAGATGGGCCTGCATGCCCAATTTGTAACCCTTTGAAAATAAAGTTTGTTCGTTCGTTCGTTCTTCTTCGCATCCACCGACTGTAAAATCTGATGGAAAGTCCTGGATGTTTGTCCACTTCTGGACTTACTCTTGTTCCAGGACTTTACAGATCTGTGCCAACCTTATCTTTCAGGAAGATGAACTTTGATCTCAAAATAACATACACACTATCTACGTTGGCCAGGCTCCTGATTGAGAACCTGTTTCTGGGATGGCCGTGGAGATGTATACATAGCTCTTGACCAGTGTGAGCCCTGGTCCTGCTGTATCCTGGGTTCAGCACCTCTGCATTTCAAACCATTTGATGAAAATAGGTGTTTAAAATACAAAGACAATGGTGGTAGGTAGACAACAACAACGACAACAACAACAAAAATGTGTCAGTAAATTACACAGAAATGAAGCAAACAAGTGAATTTAATTGTCTAGGGTCGATTTTCACGTCTGAAGAAAGAGTGAATAGAAAAATCAACAGAGGTGTGCAAAAATAAATCAGGTAAATGGGAAACTGGCACAACTTTTGATACATTTGGTACCTTTGTATGTATACCAAGTGAAATTTAATGAGAACTGTTCTTTGCTAACTCTGTGCTGCGAGTGTCAAACATGGACCCTCATTATAACTGATAAACGCAGAATCGTAATAATAGAGATGTCTTAGAAAAGTGGCTACAATAACAAGAAAAGACAATTTAAAGTGAAGAAGTTAGAAGAAGACCAAGAATTAAATCAGTCACACAGGTTAATAAAGAGCAACATATGAGATGGTTTGGCCAAATGAGGACAGTGCCTGGCATCAGCTGCCACAGAGAACCGCACTGAAGAAATATGATGAGCAACTCCCTGGGACTCAAAACTTTAAAAGCTAATTTGTTTTTTCAAAATGTTAAAAGATAATTTTTTCATGTCTTTTTATTACCACTTTCTTTCTGAATGAAACTAATATTGGTTATATTTTTACCTTTATCTTAGTGCAAAAGCACTTTGTAATTCTGAGATACCCGGTTCAATTCCAGCTGCAAATGATTTGGCAGCAGACCGCTATTTGTTTCTGTCACCAGTGAAATTGTCCCGACCATTAAGAAAGCAATGCAGACTACTGAATTCATGAATGTCCAGTATAACCAGACACAAAGAAGGTGGAGATTTAATGGGCCCACTCTAAGATGAAGTGAGCAAAGAATTACAAAAAAAGCACTAAAATGGGAAACATACGGTTGGAGAAAAAGAGGATGACCAAGGGAGACATTAAAAAAGAATGTTATTACGAGAGACTAAAAGAGCTGGGCTGAACTCCATATCAGAAATTGTGAGATGTGCATGCAATAGAGCAGAGTGGAGGAATCGAATGCCAGACGTCTGACGGCACACAAAGGAAGAAGATGATGATGAAAATCAAACAGCTAACAAAATGCTGAGGTTGGTTTTGCAACATTATATAAAGAATTATGCAACCAACTTAATTGTATATGTATTAGCTTATTGTCATCTACATTATACTACAACCAACTTAAATGTATATGTATTAGCTTATTGTCATCTACATTATACTACAACCAACTTAAATGTTTATATATTAGCTTATTGTCATCTACATTATACTACAACCAACTTAAATGTTTATATATTAGCTTATTGTCATCTACATTATACTACAACCAACTTAAATGTTTATATATTAGCTTATTGTCATCTACATTATACTACAACCAACTTATCTTCCTGCAACCACAGAACAATAATCCAGTTCGGGGTGGTAGTAAGTACAAGTTGACATCAGACTCATCAAAACTCGTCCATTACGAGAGCACGCTGACGATCAAAGACCTGGAGGTTGAAGATTATGGGGCCTACGTTTGCACAGCCACCAACAGCAAGGGCAGCGACTCTCACAGCATAACATTGACTGGAACTAGTAAGTATCATGTTTATTTTTGTTGTTCATTTTTGATTTAAGAAACCATCTTTATCGCACATCAGACATGATCATCAGTATGTGTGTTGTATTCGGTGGAAATGTCGGTGGTTGAGGTTTAAAGTATTGAAGTGTTCTTTATTTCTGGGACTAGTTTGTTAATGCAGTTTCCACATATGGATTGGTGTCCTTGTTTTTGTTACCAGAACTACTGAGTTGAGTGCTTAGTACAACACTGAGCTGTGGGTAGGCAGGAATATTTTACTCCACCAGGGCATCACACTAAGCGATAAACACCCGTGGCACAAAGTGCACCATGCGGATGAGAATCACCAGTGTAGAGTTCCAGGAAACCACGTTCAACCATTAGGTTATATTGCAGCCCCTCTCAGTAGCCAGGGTGGGGCTTAGAAATGGTTAAAAATGTGCATCTTTGAAGTGATGCTCGACTGTCAGAGACCTATGAAGTGATGCTTGACTGTCAGAGACCTTTGAAGTGATGCTTGACTGTCAGAGACCTATGAAGTGATGCTTGACTGTCAGAGACCTTTGAAGTGATGCTCGACTGTCAGAGACCTATGAAGTGATGCTTGACTGTCAGAGACCTATGAAGTAATGCTTGACTGTCAGAGACCTATGAAGTGATGCTCGACTGTCAGAGACCTATGAAGTAATGCTTGACTGTCAGAGACCTATGAAGTGATGCTCGACTGTCAGAGACCTATGAAGTAATGCTTGACTGTCAGAGACCTATGAAGTAATGCTTGACTGTCAGAGACCTATGAAGTGATGCTCGACTGTCAGAGACCTATGAAGTGATGCTCGACTGTCAGAGACCTATGAAGTGATGCTCGACTGTCAGAGACCTATGAAGTGATGCTTGACTGTCAGAGACCTATGAAGTGATGCTTGACTGTCAGAGACCTATGAAGTAATGCTTGACTGTCAGAGACCTATGAAGTAATGCTCGACTGTCAGAGACCTATGAAGTAATGCTTGACTGTCAGAGACCTATGAAGTAATGCTTGCTGCTCTGCATGGAGCATGCCTTTCTCCATCTTTCTGTGTAGATTGTCGGGGAAAACAAGACTAGACCCACTGCCTGCACAAAAGCATGTTGTAAGATTCGACTAATTGGGAGCTCCCTTCAGAGTCAGAGTAGCTCTGTCTGAGAGGCAAGTAACCAACAATCAGCATGCAGATGAGTTGGACCTTTAGAGCGGATCTACACCCAACACTCAGTTTCTGGAATAGGACTAGAGTCTAGAAGTGGACGAACAAACAGAACTTCCCGCCGGAGTTTACAGCCAGTGAACTCGAAGAAGAAGAAGAAGTAGAAGAAGAAGACTATGAGTCTGTTACAGTCACAATATGCGTGTGCTGCTTGTTCTCAGGCCAGTGGAAAGCTGCCATGACTGCCGCCACCCCCACCCATTCTCATAGATGTTGTGGTATCATGTTGTGCTTTGTTTTTTCAGGCAAGCCTAACCCTCCGTACAACATAGAATTCGTCAATGCCACCTCCAACAGCATCACCATCACCTGGAAGCCAGGCTTTGATGGAGGGCTGCCCCAGTCTTTCAGGGTTCGTTACAAGCCAGTGACTGCCAGGGGCTATGTGTATGTTGACGTACGGCCATTTGGAGCAACAACTTTCAGAATTAAAGGTAATCCTTTTCAGTCATTACTGTAACAGTATTTAAAAGCTATAGACCAATTTTTTTTTACTAGCCTATCTTGTTTAGATTTTTTTTTGGGGTAATATGTGATGCAAAAGCAGTAGTGAAGGTGAAATTCTCAAAAGTGACACCATTTATTTCCTGTACAGTTTGACTGAGTTTAGAGTGAGAAGTTACAGGGAAATTGATATTCACAACCTTCTGTCCGGTGTACGTTTAATCAACTCTGACATGATGTCAGACTGTCTAGCTTCTGTTCTCTCGGTCTCCCTCTGCCTCCCTTCCCTTCCAACTTTCCTACTACCATGATGTACTCCAGTTTTCTCCTTTTCATCACATGACCAAAAAATGTAGATTGTCTCTTTCTGATGTGGGAAATCGGTTCTGTTCGTGAGTCAGTTTCTTTCAAGACATCTTCATCTCTCTTTTGATCTGTCCAGGGTATTCTTATCATTCTTCTATAAAACCACATCTCCACAGCTTCCAAATAAGTTATATATATATATATATATATATATATATATATATATATATATATATATATATATATATATATATATATATATATATATATATATATATATATATATATATTGGCATTATGTTGGCTAATACACTGGTGGTGGTTGGGCCATATATGGAGAATAGCAGATAACAGAGAGCCCCCCCCCCCCAAAAAAAAAAAAAAAACTGTACACGAAGGAGTTAATTGGGAATACACCACAAGGCAGACCAAGTCGGTGGTGGAGAGATAATACACAGACAGACCTGTAAACACTTTAAGTCATCAACTGGAAATAGAAAGCCAATCATAGAGGTGAATGAAGGTGGGGTGATATCTGCAGGGGCTCAGACGGAATGTTGTGATATCTACAGCTTGTGGGTCACAATTTAAGCAAGCCGCTAATGAATCACCTTTTACAACATTATGTTTTTTGATGATGCAGTGGGTCTGTTCCCTGTCCCCCTCCCCCCAAATAAAGCCCCAGAACCCACACGAATGCAGACATTCCAACACACAGACACCACAACACATATTATTTGACATTCAGCAGTTGATTTTGATTTTTATTTATGAGTTCCTTATAGCCTCAGTGGTTTGTTTGCCATTAACTGATTGATGGATTAAAAATGACTTGCAGACTGTTTTTTTATTTATATATACAATAATTGTTTGCAAAGGTTAGGACAAATTCAAGCAATTTCAAGAGTTTATGTTCAACTAAGATATATAGGAGCGCACACACACATGCACCTCTTCACATGCACCTGCACACATGCACCTGTACACATGCACATGCACACGTGTACCTGTACACCTGCACCTGCACACATGTACCTGTACATTCACCTGTACACATGCACCTGTACACGTGCATCTATTCACCTGCACTTGGTACTTGGTGTTGATTAAAAAAACAAAAGATTCTTGCCAATTTCAGTCTGCTCCTAAAATGAGTGGTGACTCTATCTTGGCGTCAAATGTTTGTTTGGAATTGGTTTCCAATTATCTTTCTTTGATTGCTGCGTTTTTTGGCTTTATCCGATTTCTGTTGAATAGGGTGGGGATCTCGGTCTGCCCTAAAAAGGGCAGGCCATAGCCTTGGGGCGGCACTGGAATCAGGGAATTGATTGGGTGTAGAGTGTCATGCCTGGCTGGTCAGAGCTGTTGGGTGTTTTCGGTCCGGTGAGCTGGCTTGTTCGGCTGTCATGGCGTCTTGCTTGGTTTCTATTGGTTGCTGGCCTCTGTTGATTTTTGGGTTTTCTCGGTGGGCGAGTGGTCGGCGATGGCTCTTTTGTTGTTTTTTCTGGCCTGGGGCCTTTCTTAGCTCGGTTGGTTTGGCTTGAGGATCTTATGCGCTCTTGCCATTTCTGCCAGTAGTTTGCCTTTGTACTCCTGCTGTCTTATGGTGAGTTTATGTTTTCCTCTGTTGTTCACTTCGTCCCAGAATCCTCTTGTGGTCCAAATGCCTACGTTTGGCTTGATCAGTTTGCTTAGTCTTCTCTCCAACTCAAAAATGTATCGTTCTGTCATTTTGTCGTCTGCTACGACGGCTGGCATCTCAAATTCTTTGCTTACTTGATCAGGCCAGTGTGCTTCTTCTGTGACGGAGCTCTGTTCAGTGTGTTCGTTCTCTGGGCCAGGTAATTCTTCTTGCGTTTCTTCTGGGTTCAGCTGTGTTCCAATAATTTGGTTAGTGTCGCTCGATGCTTCTTTTGGAGCCTCCTCCAGTGCTTTTTCAGTGATTTTTTGCTTGGCTGTCTGTGTTTTGGCGAAGTTTTCGACGGACTGCCTTTTTCTTTCCACTACCTTCTTTGCGCTTTCTCTGGCGTCCATCACTTTGTTCGTGGCTTGCAGTGCGGCGCTCAGTTTGGTGCATTCTTCCTTAGTCTTAGTTAACTCTGCTTTGCCTGCTATCAGTTCGTTCTTGATGGTAGTGACTTCGGATTTTAGGCTTGTTTGATCGTCTTGGAGCTTTTTGGCAGCTGCGGCGTTTGCTTCTTTCATTTTCTTGAGTTCTGTCAGCATCGCTATCAGTTCTGTCTCTTTCTCCAGTCTTTTCTGGGTTTCAAGGGATGACTGCAGGATTCCTCGCAGATCTGTCATGTCATCCCGCTCTTGGTCCCTTTGCTTCCTGATTGTTGAGTTATCTTTCTTGAGGTTCTGGATTTCCTCCTTTAATAGCAGAATTTCCTTGTTGATCGTGGGGGTCGTGACTGTCGGCCTGGGCTGCTCAGCTCTGCGTCGATGTTCTGGATTAGGAGTGGTCCTGGTGGTGGTGTACATCTTGGCCCTCTTGATTTCCTTCAAGTACGGACATCCTTGGTACCTGACGCTGTGTGTCCCTGAGCAGTTGGAGCACCTTCTGTTCGTGTTAGGCCTCCTGAAATCCTGGTCGATTTTGGCCAGGGGGCACTCTTTGAAGTCGTGCGTCCCTGCACAGTAACGACAAATGGGCCCGCTACAACAGGTCGCGGCATTGTGCCACACCCTATTACACCAAGCGCACTGAAGGATATCTGATTGGGTGTTACCCTGCTGCTGACTCCTCCCCTGGGTGCTTGAGATTGTCAGTGGCCTCGTGAATGACTGGGCCGCTGGAGCGTCGGTGGCACTGGATGTTGATGGCTGGGGTGGATTCTCGGCCTCAGAGGTAATGGTGGTTGCTGCTGCGACATTGACTTCTGGAGTAGGGCTGACCGGTCTTTGGGTGATCAGCTCCTGGCTCTGGTCGTCTAAGGCTGCGGTTTCTGGTACTGCCGGGTCTGGCTTCCTTAGTGAGGGGGCCTTCGCTGTTTTCTTGGCTTTTCCCATCTTGTCAGACGGGTGAATAGGCGGTACCTGTCAGGTGTCTACCGAAAGCTAGATCCCTTCGGAGTCGGCAAGGCTTGTTGAGTGCTCTGAAAAGAACACCAAGCATGCTTTCTCCTCAGTTCTCTAGACAATTGTTCTACAAATTATAACTGGCTGTGTCTTCAACAATGGTGTGTTTACGGGCTGCTAATAACCCAAACGCAGACGACTCCGATAGCGTAGTCGAGACAAACTCAGCCGAATATCAAACGAGTATTGTCCAGTATCTAGCTATCGAAAATCAGGCTACGAATGGGTAGTTAGCGGGCGACGAGAGACACTAGTGGCCGATCGGGCGGTTGAGTGAGTGAGTGTGTGATTCACCTGCACACCTGCACCTGTACACATGTACCTGCACACATGCACCTGTACACATTCACCTGCACACATGCATCTGCACACATGCACCTGCACACATGCACCTGCACACATGCACCAGCACACATGCACCTACACACATGCACCAGCACACATGCACCTGCACACAAGTACCTGCACACATGCACCTGTACACATGCACCAGCACACATGCACCTGTACACATACACCTGTACACATGCACCTGCACACATGCACCTGTACATATACACCTGCACACATGCACCTGCACACATGCACCAGCACACATGCACCTGCACACAAGTACCTGCACACATGCACCTGTACACATGCACCTGTACACATAAGAAGAAAAGTAGAAGCATTATTTGTACATCCTTGAATCATCATCATCATCATGTGGCTTCCCTGTAAGTGTAGGCTGTCTTGTTTTCGCCATCTCACATGATGACCAGAATAATCACGGATCAGGTCAGTGTTCTTGTCTTGCCTCCATCCATAAGGCTAGGCCATTTTGGTATTTATAAATTTGCTGCCTCTTGCTTACTCTTCTTCTGTCAATCGTGCCAGTCATCACGAAACGTTAATATAACACAGTAACAGTTAGTAGCACCTTGAGGTCAAATGTCTTAAGCTTAATACAACACAGTAACAGTTAGTGGCGCCTCAAGGTCAAATGTCTTAAGCTTAATACAACACAGTAACAGTTAGTGGCACCTTGAGGTCAAATGTCTTAAGCTTAATACAACACAGTAACAGTTAGTGGCACCTTGAGGTCAAATGTCTTAAGCTTAATACAACACAGTAACAGTTAGTAGTATCTCAAGGTCAAATGTCTTAAGCTAAATACAACACAGTAACAGTTAGTGGCGCCTCAAGGTCAAATGTTTTAAGCTTAATACAACACAGTAACAGTTAGTAGCACCTCAAGGTCAAATGTCTAAAGCTTAATACAACACAGTAACAGTTAGTGGCGCTTCAAGGTCAAATGTCTTAAGCTTAATACAACATAGTAACAGTTAGTGGCACCTCGAGGTCAAATGTCCTTAGCTTAATACAACATAGTAACAGTTAGTAGCACCTCAAGGTCAAATGTCTAAAGCTTAATACAACACAGTAACAGTTAGTGGCGCTTCAAGGTCAAATGTCTTAAGCTTAATACAACACAGTAACAGTTAGTAGCACCTTGAGGTCAAATGTCTTAAGCTTAATACAACACAGTAACAGTTAGTGGCGCCTCGAGGTCAAATGTCTTAAGCTTAATACAACACAGTAACAGTTAGTAGCACCTCGAAGTCAAATGTCTTAAGCTTAATACAACACAGTAACAGTTAGTGGCGCCTTGAGGTCAAATGTCTTAAGCTTAATACAACACAGTAACAGTTAGTGGCGCCATAAGGTCAAATGTCTTAAGCTTAATACAACACAGTAACAGTTAGTGGCGCTTTGAGGTCAAATGTCTTAAGCTTAATACAACACAGTAACAGTTAGTGGCGCCTTGAGGTCAAAAGTCTTAAGCTTAATACAACACAGTAACAGTTAGTGGCGCCATGAGGTCAAAAGTCTTAAGCTTAATACAACACAGTAACAGTTAGTGGCGCCACGAGGTCAAATGTCTTAAGCTTAATACAACACAGTAACAGTTAGTGGCACCATGAGGTCAAAAGTCTTAAGCTTAATACAACACAGTAACAGTTGGTGGCGCCACGAGGTCAAATGTCTTAAGCTTAATACAACACAGTAACAGTTAGTGGCGCCTCAAGGTCAAATGTCTTAAGCTTAATACAACACAGTAACAGTTAGTGGCACCTTGAGGTCAAATGTCTTAAGCTTAATACAACACAGTAACAGTTAGTGGCGCCTCAAGGTCAAATGTCTCAGGTTTAACAGTAAACAGATAGTAGCATCTCAATGTTTGTATAAATCTGTAACAGTATATATGATAATGGTTGTGACAAAAAACAGTTTTGGGTTTTTTTAGGTTTGGAGCTTGACACAGAGTATGAGTTGACCGTTCTAGCCTTTAATGACAGAGGAGAGAGTGTATATCAAGCCCGAGGGATAGTGGCCAAAACATCAGGTCAGTCAGCTTTTCATTTGCAGCAGGCAACAGGGTAATGTCCATGTTATGTTTTCTTACTTAATAATCAATTGACAGTAAGCTAACACATCAAATCCAGTGTGATGCTGACTACATCACCCACCAAGTGCTGTTAGGTCTATAAACTATAAGTCTAGCCCTATATACCCAATACACCTGAAGGCATGGAAAAGGGTCCTTCACTTTACTTTCAACACATCAAATGAAGTTTTTGTTCGAAATGGCAATTATCAAAGACAAGATAATGAGTTCTTTTGTTTCCATTGGAAACACATCCAGTTAAGAGTTTTTTTTTTTTTTCTGTAGCCAAACACACCAATTGGCAATTTTTTTTTTTTTTTTTTCCATATTGCCAGACAAATCAAGTTAGCAGATTATTGTGTTTTTTATTGTTGTCATAAGCAAATGTATAAGGCTGGTGAGTTTTGTGTGTGTGTGACATCATGTTAACAAATTATTTGTTTTCCATTAACAAACACATCAATTTCTTTTTTAATTTTCCATCAATAGACACATCTTGTTACAATTTTTTTTTTTTAAATCTCCCATTGATAACCTTGGTGTGTAATTTCTCTCTGTCTCCCACCTCCCCCTCCCACTCCCAATAAAAACATCTTGTTAATGAATTGTTTCCATTGGCAAATACGTCAAGTTAGTAAGTAACCCCCCTCCCCCCTTCCCCCTTCCATTGTTGCCCCGACAAAAAAAAAAAAAAAAAATTCCCTTACCTTACCTAGCATTCAAACACTGGTCTCTCAGATCAAAACTCTGTGTGTTGTTATCTGTTTGGCAAGCAACATGATCATTCACTTAAATGACTAGTTAACCAAATCAGCCTTGTATGTTCACAGCTGTAGTCTCGCCGGCCGACATCTCGACCTCAGAACTACAAGGCACTGATGAGATTCCTGTGATTATCATTCTGGTTGTGTGCATTGTTGGAGTCTTCATCCTGACCTTGAACGTCGGCCTCATTCTCTTCTTTATCAAAAGACGAAAGAAGAGGATGGAAGGTAAGAAGATTTCATCAGTGTCATCATGTGTCTTACATGTAAGCATAGGCTGTCGCATTTCACCATTCCACGCAATCACTAGAATAGCTGATCAGGTCAGTGTTCTTGTCTTGCCCCTATCCATATGGCTAAGCTGTCCAGGTGTTTATCCTATTGCTTCCTCTTTGCTCCCTTTCTAACAGTCTTGCCAGTCATTGACTAACACTTTGAATCCCAGACAAAACATGGGATGTGAATCACCACATCTACCAAATCTCATCCTTAGCGGTAATATGCTCTCTTACTTTTGTATTTTGTCAGAGCTCACTCAAGAAGTCTGGCTTGTATAATGGTCAGGAGTACTGTTATATGACTATAAGTAATTCATTGATGAATTTTAATCACGGATACATCTTCACTTTCATTTCCAACTAAACCTTTCTTGGTACTCAAAGAGTTAATCTGGAGGCCATTCCTTCTCGTGTCTGGAAAACACTGACCGTCTGCCTCTAATTTTTCTAAAAAGGTTTGCAACTTTCCTCTATCTCGAGGAGGTCTGTCTAATTTGTTTTTCTTAGTCTGTGATATTCTTTCCATTCCTTGATGTTCATAATTTCTGTCATTCCACGATATTAAGTGAATTTCTCTTTTGATTTAGTGAAACAAATGATGTTTTGAGTTGTTATAAATCAGAGAGTTCCAGGGGAAGGTCTAGTTTATAGGGGTGTTACGTTGTGAAATCTGCACCAGCTAACTCTAATCCTAACCCCTCGTAACATTGGACTTTCCCTTAGAACTCTCATATTCCCTGAGATCAGGTGAACTAAAAATAAAGAACCTGTCTGTGTGAACTGAGGTAACACATGGTGTATTATTATTGATTTCATGTTTGGTCTAGCAGCATCCATGGCTTAGGCGTTGCGAGTTCAACTTGTATTTTCAACACACCGCGATCGAAACATACTGCTGGCTGCGTAGAATTTTATCATGGTATGGGGCGTCGCAGATCAACCCAGCCCAAAATGGGTACCAGGATGTATGTCCTGGGGAAGTAAAGGTGCCGGCATAATGCTGACCACATTACCCACCTAGTGCTGATTGGTATGTAAAAATATGGGTACTCTTCCCATATACCTGATACGCCTAAAGGCCTGAAATGGGATCTTTACTTCATGTTTGGTCTGGATATGCAAAAGAAATCTGGCCAAATATTTTAGTGCAGCACAGTATGTGATGTATCTAAGGCCTTTTTCAGTATTTATTGTGTCAGATTGGGTTCATACTCTGGGACTGAATGAGTTAATCATACAAGAGTGTTAACCGGAGCTCCCGATTGATTTTATTAACTGGACATTTGGGTTATCTATTCCCCCCAGGAGCAAGCGAAACAACCAGCCATAACAACACATTTGAGCTGTACAGCAGCACCAAGGGAGATCACAACATGTACCCAGCGTCTCCTGATGATGTTCACAGTTACGGAACCAATGATAAAAGCATGGACGATTTCTCTGATGATTACATTCGAGATTACGATGTGAGTAACCTTCTTTACCTGTCTGGATGTTTTTCTTTAACTGAGTAATCTGTTTGGCAACTGTGCCTTGGATGTTTATTAATGCAGTTCCCCATGTGGTTTCCAGGGCCCCATTTTATGGTAGGAATAGATCCACTGCTTCTTTATCAAGCATGGCCTAAAAGGTGACTAATTAGAAATGTTTCTTTCCGAGTCAGAGTGTATCTACCTGAGAGGTCAGGAACCAAGAGTTAGTCGCAAAAAAGTTAGTTGCGTATGCTAGCTCCAGCATTTTTGTGACTGTTGTGCGTTTTCTCATTCAGTAGTTTGCCATTCCTTTCTGAACAGTCAACTCTCCACAACCCAGTCGAAACCAACACAAGACGATCTGCTGCCAACTCGCCTACAGCTGGGATTGAACCCGGCACCCCAGCATTACGAAATGTGTTTGCAAAGCCTAATCCACAGACACCTACCATACAAATAAGCAGATCTGTAAAATGGATGTGCACACAGAATTCAAGAGATTGCAGTTCTCTAAGAGAAATCCCATATCTTTGTGGCCAGTTGAATCTCTCGCATGTGTGTAACCACTGAAAATAAATATTGCCAGAAAAATGTCTGAATGGCAAGGGCTGTAACTCCACAATACTTGATAAAACTTGTGTTGGATGTTAAGTTCCATAGGTGAATTAAAATGACATCATGAGGCTTTCTCACTAAGTTTGAGATCTGTTTTATTTGCTGTTTTTATGTAAATTTAATTATTGGTTCTATGCTTTTATAACCTTGTTTCTGATTGTATCTCTTCTGTCCAGTTTTGACCTTTTCTTTTATAACCTTGTTTCTGATTTTTATCTTTTCTGTCCAGTTTTGACCTTTTCTTTTATAACCTTGTTTCTGATGTTATCTCTTCTGTCCAGTTTTGACCTTTTCTTTTATAACCTTGTTTATGATTTTATCTCTTCTGGTCAGTTTTGACCTTTTCTTTATAACCTTGTTTCTGATTTGTTATCTTCTGTCCAGTTTTGACCTTTTCTTTTATAACCTTGTTTCTTTTTTTTATCTCTTCTGGCTAGTCTTGCAGCCTTTCTCCAGGTATATGCCTTTGCTTTGGTGTTTTTTCCCATCAGTCTTTCCAGTTGTGACCAAGGTGTTATTTTTTCCCTTGCATAATATGAACAAAACACTGACTGTCTATGTCTAATTTCTATTATCAGTTTACGGTTTTCATGTGTCTAAAAACAATACTGCCCTGCTTTTTCTTCATTCCATTATATTCTTTGCATACTTCTTCAAGACCACATCTTTGCTAAAGGTACGAGGGGAAGTCAATAAGTCACAAGTGGTTGTTTAAAAAAATTGCATCATAAAGCATTAATAGAACTTTACAATATGAATCAGCATTCACGTCGTCACCTCTTTAAAAAAAATTGGTATGAGCTCTCCTTGACAAACCCAGAACACTGTCAGCATAACCTTCCCTGCTAATGGTGAAACCTTGAACTTTAACACAAGGTGAAGAAGGATGTTTCCATTGCATTGAAGCAAAATTTGATCTGGCTTTGATTCGTTCCCGTGGCGCTGTGATTTCGGTCACAGGCATGAGGCAAAGTTAAGTCTGATGTGAGGTGTATAAGGAGATACTCCGTACCCCACTCGGGCGCCAGTCCTTCACTGTTCTGGTTTTACGGAACCTCATGCAAGACTCCTGCTGCACGTCCCCGTCGTGCGCCACGGATAATGTCTCAAATGAGCTTTAACAGAGTTGGCAGGGGATCTCGGAGCTGGTGGCCCCTAGAGGTGTAGTGTCCTTTCTGGCTCTCACCAGCCCGCCCCCAAACGCATGGGTGAAAAGTCTAATAAAACTCACGAATTGCTTGCTAAATGTACCATTAAATGACAACTCTTGGTTAAAATTCGGGAGGGAATTTAAAACTGTGCTGCTGAGACTCAACCCTGACCGAGAGATTTACCCGCAGCCAAGACGAGTAACATCTCTTGTGGGCGACTTCTCGCAGCAAGATCCTACCTACGTACATCCTCAATCCTCAGTGTCGTCGTCACCGCGCTGAGGTACACCACAGCAGCAACTTTTTATATGCTGGCTTGGAAATAATGTCCGACAAAGTTATACCCCACGGCACACATGCAAGCTCAGAGTCCGACGATCATAATTTGTACCGATTAGGTAAAAGTCCGAATGTCCGTATCCACTGGTCCAACTCGCCCGAGTGTTGGGACCAAACAGGTGAAGCCACGCCTGACGCATTTTGCTTCCCCATTCTGTCGTGCTAAGGGCACAGCTGAAACAACGTTAAAGGTGTCTAACGTAAGATAAAAAAGAATGTACCTATTTGTGTGGCCACAAACGTCCTAGACCTGCGGGCTGCTCCCTGCTGTTCTCCGGAGAGCGCAGCCTTGTAGCGCGGGAAGCTTAATACACGGTTGTGAGGTTAAGCCGTCATGGGCAGGACGTGACGATTCCTTGGGTGAGCCCAGAACCAGAGCATCATGTGTCGGCTCTGCATTTGTGGAAGCCTCCTTGGATGGCGGGGAATGCCCATGATCCGCCCCTGCCTTCCCTTGAGGGCTGAAAACTCTACATAGAGCTGCCTTAAGGACGACATTCCGGGGGCCACACCTGTTAAGTCAAAGAGGTCACCACACAAATGAGGCAACATCTCGACCCACACAAAACAATGGCCACAGTCAACCTAGAAAGTCGGAGTACATCTGCCGGAGAGGCGGGGAACGAGAACTGCAAACAAATAAGCCAGTAAAACGGATGTACACGCAAAACTCAGGTCAAGGTAAAAGCCAAAAGTCCATTTTGGACGAACAACCGCGACTTACCGCCGGAATTCACAGATGGTGAACAAGAAGAAGAAGAAGAAGATTCGTTCCCAGTAATAATCTGGTTCAGCCGGTCTTCTCCTTCATCTGTCTATTGACAGAGATGCTGCAAGGACAGGCCTAATCGGTTCATTTTGTGTTCATCCGTCAATTGTCTAGGTACCCACCTTTAGCACACTTTCTTAAATTTCAATCGATCATGCATTATAGTGCATGCTGAACCATTTGAGCTTACTAGTGCAGCTGCTACAGAGTCAACCGGGGCTCGCCTGTCACCTCTGATCATCTCCTTCACCTGATGCGTGGATGCGTCTGTTGCAATCTCAACAGGATTACCAGATTGGACTTCATCAACAATTATAGACGGCTCTTAAGAAAAATTTGTATCCAGCTATGCACCGATATGAGATAAACAGTTGTCAGCATAAACAGGAAGCATTTCCTTATGAATGTCCTTTGCAGGCAGCCCTCCAAAAAAAAAAAAAAAAAAACGCACAACTGCGCATTTTTTCTGTGTTGCGAATGCGCATGTAACACCCAGCACCACCTAACAAACGGAGACATGATGTTCGATGTTGCTGTCCCCAAATGGCACTTTTAGAAACCATTAACTACATATTCCTGCTATCCCATAACCATTTGTGACTTACTAATTGACTTCTCAAGATGTTTTTCACTTTGACAGCTTATCTCACATGCATATAACAACACAGGTTCTGTATAGCGCTTTAACAATTTGTTTTCTCACTCTGGTTGACATCTCAGTGTATGTTCATTGATTATATGTCCGCTGTTATAGTGGGGTGCTTGAACATTTTTATGTTTGGGTCTTATTTTAGTCCCGTTGTTTTGGTTGTGACAGAAAGCCAGCAGCTGTTAAAGTGAGTGTTTCTAGGATATCTCTTGTAATTGTTATTGTTACAAACATGGTGGTGGTTGATGTGGAAAACAGTGCATGAGGGTTGGCTTTTGTTTCTTTTTTGTGTGTGTTTTGTTTGTTTCATTTTTTTTTTGGGTTCAAAAAAGAAGTATCTGTGATTGAGGGGTCTTCATAGTGACGCAGAAGTATATTTGTACCATTGCTTTTTCTTAACTGCCACGTTGACCCAACCTTGAATGGGTACCAGGTAAAGTCCTGGGAAGTAAAGACGGCTGATGTGATGTTTACCCCATTACCCACAGAGTGTCACTTGGTCAAAAAATATCTGAGTCTATAACCATATGCTCATTATGCCTTTACTTTTATTTTACTGTTGCTCTTTGCTATATAAGATCAATAGTATTTTACTTCTGGGATTCCCCATGTTGGTTTTGGGGCCCCATTGTGGGGAAAACAAGAATAAACCCACTGCCTACCCAGCAAGCGTGTTGTAGGAGTCGACTAATTGGGGGCTTTTCCTTCAAAGTCAGAGTGCATCTGCTCGAGAGACGATGAACAAACAGTCTGCATACAAATAAGCAAGATCTGTAAAATGAATGCACTTGCAAAACTCAGGTTCTGGAACAAAGCCAAAGTCCAGAAATGGACAAACAACCAGGTCTTTCCAGTTGGGGTTTACAGCTGGTGTACACAAACAAACAACTAGGTCTTTCCAGTTGGGGTTTACAGCTAGTGTACACAAACAAACAACTAGGTCTTTCCAGTGGGGTTTACAGCTGGTGTACACAAACAAACAACTAGGTCTTTCCAGTGGGGTTTACAGCTGGTGTACACAAACAAACAACTAGGTCTTTCCAGTTGGGGTTTACAGCTGGTGTACACAAACAACTAGGTCTTTCCAGTGGGGTTTACAGCTGGTGTACACAAACAAACAACCAGGTCTTTCCAGCGGGGTTTACAGCTGGTGTACACAAACAAACAACTAGGTCTTTCCAGTTGGGGTTTACAGCTGGTGTACACAAACAAACAACTAGGTCTTTCCAGTTGGGGTTTACAGCTGGTGTACACAAACAAACAAACTGTTGGGATGCAGAGGGGCTGAACCACACATGGCGGTGCACCAGGGCTCATACTGGACCGGTCACTATCTACACCTCTCCCTCGCCATCCTAGAATCAGTTCAACTAGGAACATGGTCAACGTACATAGAATCAATGTTTCCTTCGAAGTTAAAAGTGCCTCTGCCTGAGAGGCAAGGAACCAGCAGTCGGCACACAAATAAGCCAGATCTGCAAAATGGATGTGCATATAACCCTGAAGTCCTGAAGAAATAGAACAACCAGGACTTCCCTAATAAAAGTAAAGTTCCCTTTTCACGCCTTTCGGCGCATCGGGCATATGGGCAGAGCGTCCCATATTTTTACAGATCATCAGTACTCTGTGGGTAATGTGGTCAGAATGGAGTTTATAAAGTCTGTGAACATGGAAAAGATGGACTTTTGTTGACACAATACACCGGGGTTTATATGGACACTTTATATCCCAGTGATAACTTTCAGGGGTGATCAGGATATTGTATGTGCGAAAATTATTACTACTATTACTGCTGCTGCTCCTCCTCTTCCTCCTCCTCCTCTTCCTCCTCCTCCTCCTCATGATGATAAAATCTATGTTGTACTATTGTAGCTCTATAAAGGCTATGAACAAAAAACATTTTATTTTCAAAGGATTGAGAAGTGTTGTATCTAATATTCTGCTCTTATGGTCTCACTCCTGTCATACATTAAATTAGAGTATATTTAGCAGACTAGCTGACAGCTGCTGCAGAACCACACACACAAAAACATGCAGGGCGCATTTTAATTTCTCAAATACTGACTTGGTAGAAATGTTTAGTGGGCAGACTGGGCATTTCCATATCTATAGGAAGAACTAGACCATACACAATGTTACCAACATTTCACAGGGTAGAATGAAATTGAGGAACCAGCTGCAATCTGTATAAAACTTATAATAAAACAACAGGTTAATAAATAAACCAGTAATGTTTACAATAAAGTTCCCTATCTGAGATTCCTAGGTCTCATTGTTGGGGAAAATGGGAGGGGCTGGGTGTAGAGCCACTGCCTCTCTTGTAAGAGTTGACTAATCAGGGGTTTCCTTCGATGTCGGAGTGCATCTGCTTGAGAGGCAAGGAACCAACAGTCGTGCATACAAATATATCTGTAAAATGAATGTGCATGCAGACCTCAGTTTCTGGAACAAGACCGAAGTCCAGAAGTGTAGAAACAAACAGAACGTTCTGCTGCTTGTTAAAACCTTTCAACGTTTCATCAAGTGCTGAGGAATTATGATTCAGCGCTTGACAGTTTGTGCTCATTCACTGGTATCTACATTCAGATATCTATAATACATTTGTTTTTAGATTTTGTGTTATGGCACATGTGTTTAAATTTTATGTCAAGTCACATGTCTTTAAATTGTATGTAGAGTAGACACACGTGTTTAAGTTTTGTTGGTGAGATAGTGCTAGGCTTTTACATTTTGTGTTAAGGCACACGTGTTTAAATTTTGTTGGTGAGATAGTGCTAGGCTTTTACATTTCTGTTATCAGATGCCATCCAGGAGGTGATTTGGGCAGAATCATTTTGGATGCTTTTACATCCCTTAAGAAATGCATCTATTTGTATGAAAGTCGTTATTTATGTCAGTTGCTACAGATTTTGAGGCAGATGCAAGAGTAAAGAACATCATCACAATGGGAAATCCATTATCTGTGGTGGGCGAAATTGGTAGGGACGCACCAGCAAAAGTTATTACAAGAATTGCTCACATTTTCAGAATAAGTCATGCCATACAAAGTATAATAATATATCCAGTTTTATAATAAAGCGCAGCTGGAACTACCTCGGCAATGCATTCAGAGGAGTGGGACTCCTCCATCAAGTCGTCATTTCGATACCAGAAGGGAACAGAAAATGGGGGAAGACCAAGAGAGACCCTGTGTAGAATCATCATCAGGAAAGGCTCAGCCATGGGCCAATGAACATCCAAGATCTAAAACATGTGATACCAAACCATCACACTTGGAGAGCTATGACCGTCCCCCATATTCAGCAGTCAGCGAAGAGTTCCGATACTAATGGTGCCACTAGCATTCTGATTAAACTTCCGTCTTGCTTTTCCTCTGAGCCTCATGCATCTGCCAGAACCCCTCGTCACTCCCCCCTGTATCAAATTCACCAGACTGTACATGCTCTCCCACAAGGCACTAACCACGTCTGTCTTATCAAGTATCAGTATTCACCAAGTTGTGCAGAGCCAGCCAGTCTGTCCGCCTGTTAATTTCCCAACACACCGGCATAAAAGGTGAAAAAATCCAGACAATACTCCTCACCCTTGAGCTGTAGAGAAAAGACTAACTAACATTAGTGTGGCAAACACATAGGACTGTTTAAACAATAAAGAATTAATTAAAGTTAAGCTTTTCTCTTTCTTTCTTTGACAGAGAGAGTGTGAAACCCACATGTTTTTACCTTCACAACATGAGTACCCGGGTTCAAGACCCTACAGTCCTCACAAGTTAGAGTCACCGATGGTTGGAAGTGGTCACAAAATGACTTACATCATAGATGACCATCCAGGTCATCGCTCTCCGTGGAATGAAGGTAGGAACTACATTACGTTGTTTAGGACACTTGAGAGGGATCTTAAATAACAAAGGGACAAGTCAGCCCACCTCCCCAACACACACAGTTCTTTTTTTCTTGGTCTACATTGTGTATTCTAACTGGCAAAAATATATTTGTATAAATTGCAGGGAATTCTTCATTAAAAACAAAAAAATTCCTACCATTCTGTCAAATATTGGAACCCGGTTAGCTAAGGCAAGTCACCTCTCTAATTGTTGAAGGTTTTCCATGGACTTCATACTTTTAATAGTCATATTTTATTTTTTAAAGGATATTTTTGTACTAGACTTGGAAAAAAATATACATTTAAAAATAAATAAAAGTTACATTCTAAATTTTCAGCTTTTTAAAATAAATATAACCCTGACACCTTAATTTAGAAGCCAAACAATGAGAAAGACGGCTGTAAACCCAGCAGCCATCAGGCGATAAGTGTTTGCTGTACCATACTAACCATCAAAAGGCACAGAGTGTGGAAAGATCTGAGTAGCACACTGTAGTCTGCATTTGCATGGCACAAGCCAACATAAGTGTGCTGTGTAAACTGTGCATGCGTCTAAGAATACACTGTACCTACTAAAAAAAAGTAAAGTAAAGTTCCCTTTTCACGCCTTTGGGCGCATCGGGCATATGGGCAGAGCGTCCTATATTTTTACAGACCATCAGCACTCTGTGGGTAATGTGGTCAGCATTACACCGGCTGTCTTTACTTTCCCAGGACAGCCCATCCTGGTACCCATTTTAGGCTGGGTCGACCTGCGACATCCCCATACCACGACAAAATTCCACGCAGCCTGCAGTGGGTTTCGATCGCGGTATGCTGGCTTACGAGTCGGACTCGCAACGCCTTAGACACGGACGCCGCACTGTACCTACTACAGTGTTGGAATATGTGTGTGTGTGCTTTATGTTCCAAGATTGTACTTAACAGCCGGACATACATCTAGACTTGAGATTTCATGATTGTATGTGCTGGAGGACATGTATGTGTGTATGCTTTACAATCCAATATTGTACTTACTGCGAGGTATATATGTGTTTGAGATTTCACTATTATGTCTACCTGAGAACATAGATGTGTGCTTTACAATCCCTGATTATATTTACAACGGGACATATATGGGCTTGAGGTTTCATGATTGTATATCTTGCAGAGCATATGTCTGTGTCTTTGCAGTCTAAGATTGTACTTACTGCAGCGTGTTTGAAATTTCATGATTGTGTTTACTAAAGAGCATAGGTGTGTGCTTCACATTTCAACATTTTACTTACTGCATGACCTTTGTGTGTGTGCTTCAGGTTTCATGGTTGGATCTTTTGGGTTTGCTTGACATTCCCTGATGCTGGCAGTGTATGCCTGAAATACCGCTGGCATGAAAAGAATATTTTTCTTACTTTACAGTTTTTAAGTAGACTGTCTTTCACAGAAGGGAGTTGGCATCCTGCAAAACTGCACCACTGGCGTAAAATGTTATTTTTAAAAAAGGATCCTTTACTTTTACACCCAACCCTCACTTCCCTTTGACCTGAAGACATTGCTACTTTTACAGCCAAGCCTCTCTCCCCTTTGACCTGAAGACATTGCTACTTTTACAGCCAACCCTCTCTCCCCCTTTGACCTGAAGACATTGCTACTTTTACAGCCAACCCTCTCTCCCCCTTTGACCTGAAGATATTGCTACTTTTACAGCCAACCATCTCTCCCCCTTTGACCTGAAGATATTGCTACTTTTACAGCCAACCCTCTCTTCCCTTTGACCTGAAGACATTGCTGCTTTTACAGCCAACCCTCTCTCCCCTTTTACCTGAAGATATTGCTACTTTTACAGCCAACCCTCTCTCCCCTTTGACCTGAAGATATTGCTACTTTTACAGCCAACCCTCTCTCCCTTTTGACCTGAAGATATTGCTACTTTTACAGCCAACCCTCTCTCCCCCTTTGACCTGAAGACATTGCTACTTTTACAGCCAACCCTCTCTCCCCCTTTGACCTGAAGACATTGCTACTTTTACAGCCAACCCTCTCTCCCCCTTTGACCTGAAGACATTGCTACTTTTACAGCCAACCCTCTCTCCCCTTTGACCTGAAGATATTGCTACTTTTACAGCCAACCCTCTCTCCCTTTTGACCTGAAGATATTGCTACTTTTACAGCCAACCCTCTTCCCTTTGATCTGAAGAGATTGTTACTTTTACGCCCAACCCTTTTCCCTCTGACCTGAAGATATTGCCGCAGCTGTGTTCTGGCTTGTGCGTAAGTATCAGTTTCTGGTATGTTCTTACAGATCACTACAGATCCGTTCACCCTAGACACAAAAAAGGTGTCTATGAGAATGGAGTGCCCAATGGAGACCTTTACGAATTCAAAGCCAGGGGCAAGGTAGGCTGTTAAAAGGACGATCGTTGTGTTCTATAAATTATTGTTCTGACTTTTGCAAGAGCTTCAGATAGCAAATTTGACTCCCTGATTGACCCAGCCGTAAATAGGTACCAGGTAAATACTGGGAAGTAAAGATGTTGTCCACATCACACATCAAGAGCCAAATGGTCTATGTTGACCACATCACACATCAAGAGTCAGTTGATCTATGCTGACCAAATCACACATCAAGAGCCAGTTGGTCTATGTTGACCACATCACACATCAAGGCCATTTGGTCTATGTTGACCACATCACACATCAAGAGCCAGTTGGTCTATGTTGACCCCATCACACACCAAGGCCATTTGGTCTATGTTGACCATATCACACATCAAGGCCAGTTGGTCTATGTTGACCACATCACACATCAAGAGCCAATTGGTCTATAAAATATAGGTCTAACACTATATGCTCCATAAACTTGAAGACTTAGAAAAGGCTCTTTCACTCCAGACACACATACAGGAGCTAATATCCCCAAAATCCTCTTATCTCCATCTCTCTCTGAGAGCATTGACAATGTTGGTGTGATCCGTAAGCTAACCATTTGCAACTATGGCAGAGCTAGCCACTCTTTTTTAAATTATTTTTTTATTGCCAGCAACGCCCGCATGCTCCTATATTTTTTAACATTAACATTTAATTTTGGAATCACCATGTCTTCTGTGTTTTGATAACATGGTATGAAATAGTTATCAGAGACTTCACAAGCAAAGCAAACTGCATCAGTTACTCACATCATACTTGATAACATTTGAGGTGTGATCAGATCACTGGTGTAAACCAGTCCTTATGGCTCTATTACAGACTTAGACACCTGAAAGCACTCATAAAGTAGGGGCAAAACAACATTTGATTATCATTTGTATGTGAGCGTTTTGGTGATCAAGGATGATTTGATTGCATGTTTACTGTTTTGCTGCCAAGTGGTGGCACAATGAAGCTTTGTTGCCGCTGTTTACAACAGACATGCATCAGACTGAATTCTGTAACACAGCAACCAGTTAACAATTTCATGCTGTGCATTCTTAGCTGACAGTATCTGCCTTTCCCCAAGCTGTGTGATGCTTGCCGGAATCTCTTCTCCTTTTTAGAGTTTAATGGTTGTAAATTCCAGGGGAAAATTCTGGCTGTTCATCCATATCTGGACATCGGTCTTGTTTCATGACTTGAGTTTTGTGTGCACGTATGTTTTACAGATCTGGCTCATTTGTATGCAGACTTTTGTTTTTCCACCTCTGAAGGAGTAGCACTTTGACTTTGAAGGAAATACCTCTAATTAGGCGCCTTCCTGACATGCCTGTTAGGGCAGCAGTTGGTCTATTCTTACTTCTCCTAGAATGGGGCCCCAGACAACTACATCTGTGACACAATACCAGTGCAGGCTGGCTTCTTAAAAGTACTTCTTAAGCATTCTGAGCCCTTGGGGTTCATTGCTGCAGATAACACCCATTTCCCTTCATCTCTCTTATCTGCCTTCTAATTTCACTTGGGCGATTCCAAGTGCTTTTAGATCTGTCTGTATATTATCTCTCCACCATCTTTTTGGTTTTTGGCCTGCCTTAAGGTCTATGGCTCTTTTGTGTAGACGTTGTTTATCTCTCTGATATCTGTCATTTTCTGTATGGGCCCTAGCCATTTTGGTTTATGATCCCCTATGATGCCAGCAGTTAGTGGTGATTTAAATAAACAGACTATGAATTTCATTGTTGCTTCTGACTGTCCACTCTCCGCTTTAAAAAAAAAATGTTTTGAGGGTTCCAGCGATTCATCCTAAGACAGTGTTCTCAGTAGTAATAAGGCTGTGTCTATTTAAACTCTGTAGTCCCAAGGAAGGCATGATACTTCATAGGTCCTGGAAGCCCAATGAATGCAACACACACTGATTTTACATCTCCCTCTGTTACCCCTTTGGCCTCTGATGCTAAACCTTCAGGACTGAAAGAGTTAATTGTACTCCAGGTTGCAGAGTGTTTTTTTTAAAAAAGAACTATTGGTTTTTTCAGTGTTTTGTAAGTTATGATTTCAATCTCTCCAAATTTCAAATCTTGATTAACTGCATTAAAAGTTGCACCTGTATTATGCCTCTCATAAGTTTGTAACTAAGCCATTCGGACGGTTTTCATTTGATCACACGCCATATCATTGCATGTAGTATATCTTCTTTTACTGAAAGCCTCAGTATTCATATTACTTTGTCACAAATAATTCATACCCTGTTAGCCTGTAACAAGTCATCTTTTCCTTTGCTATCGCATGCAGCTCACCCCATTAAAACAAAGTATTTTCTCCTATTGTTGATTGATCTGCTTGTATTTCTTTGACCCGGTGTTTGCAGTGGAGCCACCGTGGTGCCTTTATTTCTTTGACCCTGTGATTGTAGTGAAGCCGCTGTGGTGTAGCGGGGAGATGCTTCACTGCGGATAAGAAGGCCACTAGTTCAGGTCCTGATGGAGCCGGACTTTTCTAGACAATGACCTTGGCTCCCAGGTTTACCCAGCCTTAACATGGGTACCAGGTAAAAATCCTGAGAAGTAAAGGTGGCCGATAAGTA